TTCTTTTTTTTCAAAATTTTTTAGTGTTCTTAAAATTAAATCTTAATATCAAGCAAAGCCAAAACTTAATTATTAATTAGTCATTAGGGTCTCAAATGCTTTACGATTGATGTGCCTTTTTTTATTTTAATTTTATTACATTCTGATATTATACAATAATTCATTCATTCTTATCTTATTTTTAGCTAACCAAGTATTTCTCACAGTTAGTAAAACTAAAAGTTTTAGATGGTGAAATCTTACCTTAATTTAACTGCAAACTCATTCGAATTGGAAACTACAACAGCATATGGTGCATAAGAACATAGGTGCATACATTTTGGTGTTTCGGTAGGCCCAGAATAAACATAATGGGTCGACTATAAAATGGATAAAAAAATTAAAATTTTGAAATTTGTTTGTAACAAAAACAAATTTCACAAAACAGTTACTGTAAAAATTAACGAAAAAGGTATTTTTTACGCCCTTAGACAATTTTCTAATATATAAACACATCACAAACGAAATTTCTTAAACATGCATTGTTAATATTATCTTAAAATGGTTTAATGTAAAATCGCTTAAAACTATTTTTTTAAATAATACCTTTTCTCCTTATTACTTAATCTGTTTTTTCTTTAATTATTATAATGAAAACAAAAATGTTAATTTCCTTATCATTTATAAGGATCAACAAGTCAACTTTTGCCTATCTTGACATTAATGACAGTCCATAAAAAGTAATAGGGCATTCCTCAATTAAAAAAAAAAAGATATGATAAGAAATAACACATTCCAAATACAGTATAGAAAGTAAGTACTATAAGTACCAAGTTGCAAATGCCCAATTAAAATGACCTCTCTAATGATCTAATTTAACATCCATGTATTACCTGAAAATTATGTTTATCACATTATTACCCCTTAAAAACAACAATATACCCAATTTCATAAAAATCTTTGAAATCGTTTTTGAAAACACGATTATACATACATTTATACCTATAATATCGCCCATTTAATAGTAAAGAACATAGTCTCAGTAATAGATTTATGTTTTTACTTACTCTTTCCTTATTTCTGATTGTTTTAATAAAAACAATTTAAAGGGCCACTTCTTTCATTGCTATTTTTTCAGGTTTTTTTAATCAGATACATGGTTAATTATTCTTTAACTTATTAAATAAATGGGTGAACCACTCAATATACAACTTAGTAGTATAATACAATGTTATCAGCCACCCAGTAAATAATTCTATAATTAAGTTTTTTATATGTGTAATAAACACTTATTTACCTAATTAACCAGCATGTGACTCAATCCAATATACTCTCACATTTATTATAATTTTAGTCAGTTACTGCATACAATAGGATTTAAAACTATAAGAACTATTTACCACAGGATCAACTGACACACAGTTTAAAAATTTTAGTTGTTGCTAACATAGATAGTTGCTAACTTGGCCATAACTTGACGTAAACTTGACATCATAGATAATCTTGACATGATTCATAGATTAATAGACGTCATAGATAAGAATTGACATGACTAAAAGCTATAGACAACTAAAGCAAATAGGCGACACTAAAAATTGCAGAATCCTCAGATTAACTTCTTATTAGCTTTCTATAATTCCGGATTATATTTTAATTTTAATTCTTTTTTTTAATTCTTATTGGTTATTGGTGAGATTAAAATTGATTGAATAAGTATACTTTAAGACAACAAAGACATATGCAATTTACGGGAACCGATGCCGACAACGGAGGAACTTCCTAATCAGAAACCATAGATGCAGAATCAAATGTTATTGTATTAAACTACCGGAGAGCTCTAATAATCAATTAATACTCATGGAAAGAAGGGTCTTTCAATGTTTTAATTTAGAATAGCTTCAAAAATGCAATTGTAGTTTTCAGTATAAATAATAATAAACAAAGGAATTCGATGAATTTTCCTTACTTAATGTGAAATTGGCTAAATGACCACCATCATAGATTTAATAATTCAGAAGTTAATCAATAAGAAGAACAAATTAGGTATTGTTATTTTGTAGGTTAGTGTCAGTAAAATTTAATTTACCAGCTATTATTTACTTTTATATGTGAATACCTTATACAATTTAAAAAAATATAAAGAATATGCTGCATTGCGAGTCTTTTTGAAACAATGTCAAAGTATGGTGCATGTCTTTACTTCAACGATGAAGAAATGTTTTTAAAAATGGAAGAACCAGATTCGGAGAGATATTTAAACATTATACCTGAAGAAGCATTTTCGGATATTTCGTTAAAAGAATCAAAGGTAGAAAATAAACCATTTCAGTGTACTAGTTGTAACAAAGGACTTTCAAGTAAACAGTCCCTTCAGAACCATATGAAGATTCATCTAAATGATAAACCCTTTCAGTGCGACGTTTGTGGTAAACGGTTTATCTATAAGCAAACACTAACTAATCATTACAAAACTCATTATAAAATTAAGAACTTTAAGTGTGATGAATGTGATAAAAGTTTCACTTTTCGACAGCAGCTGCAAGTTCATGTTAAAAGACACCGTGGAGAAAAAAACTTTTTCTGTCCATTTTGCGACAAAGCCTTCATCACAAAACAGCAAATGGAAAACCACCAGAAAACTCATTCAAAAGTTAAAGACTTTCAATGTAAACTTTGTGGTAAATGTTTCACGCTTAAGCCTCAGATGATTGCTCATACTAAAAAACGCCACGGGCAATTATAATATAGTAACATGCTTACGAAAGGGTTAAAGTGTAATAATTCTAGATTCTGTAGACTATTATAGTTTAGATTGCATACTACATTATATGTGTGAAATTATACTTGCAAAAGATGTTAGATATGCCCAAAAACATGTACTGCATATTACCATCTTTTACAAGCAAAATTCTAAACTTATTAATTACTTATTTTATAATTTTTAAATTATTAGTTTTTTTAAACATGCATACATTAGAAGATAATGAGAACTTACCTAAGAATATGTTTATGGATAATGATAAGCTGCTTTATTGAGAAGGTAATTGTACAAGCTTGAAATATTCTTTGTAGACAATATAGATGATGCTTATGTAAGGTTCGTTCAGTTAATAATTAATGTAGTATTCTTTTACCAAGCGAATTGTAGCCATTACATTTATGTGTATTATTTGTAAATAAATTCATTGCATGGCTTTGTTATATTTTTCTTATAATTATAGTTCTCTGATTTATACAAAAAAATTTAATAATTTAACAAAAATCTTGTGAAGCTATTTATTTTTTGTAATGATATTTTATATTATGTTAATAACATATAAATCCCCAACACTTCTAAAACACTCGTTCAACATTAACACCTCCAAAAGACAAAAAACCAAAGAAAATATTCATTTGTTTTTTCTTATATTAATTTTTATTATAAATCAAATAATTTCTTTCAATAAATAGAGATAAAGAAAAATAATAATCTTCAGTTTTTAGTCTGTAGCTAATGGAGTACAAATTAAACAGTATTAATTATTTATTTAACTATAACGAGTTAACTTTGGTAGGTAATACATCTTTATATTCAGTATAATTGCCTACAACAAAAATAATATCAAACACTTAAGGAACTGATTTCCTAAATATTTCACTCAGTCAATAAAATTTTGAAACACTAATAATACAATTTTTTATTTGTTTATTTAAATGTTATTGTCTTCTTTGTTAATTAAAGAAATATGTTCATGCATAAAAAAAAAGGAAAATAGCTTTTGGTGTACGTATTCATAGTTTTTTGACGTGTACATGTAAATTTTTCTACGAAAAAGAAAAGCTAAATAACTAAAATAATACCGAAAAAGTCATACATTCCTAAATGAATAGACGTGAAAATAACTAAAATGTTGTTTACGGTCACATGGTTAATTAATTAAAAGCGTAATAAATTGTTTAACTATTACAATTTAATATATGTATTTGTAAATAAATAATCTTGCAATAAATTAATAGATATAGACTTTTTACTAGAATGAGAAAAATATTCATATTTAACGTTAATAGTCTATAATGATAACTTCTACCATTCTTTTAAATTATGTTTTTATATTTCCTAGTTTTACAAGAAAATGAACTGGAGTTCTCTGGAACTCAATTAAATTTGTAAAATACTAATTGTAAAACTAAAACTTCTACATAAAACATTTAAAAACCTAAAACGCCTTTCAACCCCATCTTCATTTATAGACTAGGTTTTTAAACGTTATACACAGAATTTTGGGTTTTAATGTTTTATTTTTTCCTAGTTCTACTAATTAACTTGTCTCATAAATTTAATTTTTTTTTTTGTACATGTATTCAAGCTTTTCTGCTAGATTAAATAATAATAATGCCTTATTTGTTAACTTCAATTATGATTTTGCAGAGTTAATATATTTATTTTTAGAATCGTTGTGTTATAAAAAAATACTTTAAGGGTAGAACGAAACGATGCCCCTTTAATCTTCAAAATAAATATGCTTCTTTAATGCAAAATTAATATTTGCTCTAAAAAACGAACAAAATAAAAAGATTGTCAGCGATAAAGTCATTGAGTTCATTATGCATGATCATAAATAACAATAGCAATATAGCTAAAACAATAATGACATGACAATACTTTCCTACGTATTTTTCGACGACGTCCATACCAAATCCTTATTCAATTTCCTAAGGTATTTGCCATTTGTTTTTTTTTTTTACGAGTTTAACTTTACCTTATTAACTGTTGTTTCTTCTTTTGATGAAATGAAATTCAATGAATAAAAGTTAAATGATCACTCCCATTTCGCCTTGACTATGTCATAATCGGTTTCCGTGGTAGCCGTCATCTTTTCGTCTTCTTGTTGTGGGCTTCCCCTAACGATACCTTCTGCTGATTTAGGTGCCAGCAACTGATGTAAAACTATTAATGCGAAAACTAAAGTCAATACCAATACCAATCGATAGAGACTTAGCGTGGCATAAATTAAACTTAAGGCGGCAAGGAAATAAATGACGTAGCCCAGTTCTTTATAGCCTTGACTGAAATAAAAATATATATATTGTATTAAAAAAAGACCACTTCTTTACGAATCATAAGTTAAATGAAAAATAATATAGAAATAAGTGAACAATCGGAGCTAAAGAATAGTGACTGAAATTTATTTATGTAACAATCAGAGCCAAAGTTTCCACTTTAAGATCGGAGGCTTTTTCAAGGTCCGATCTTAGAAACGAGACATTGATTGTAGTTTTTATATAAGTAAATTTATTTTACCCCTTTTTGGTTCTAATTGTCTTATTATTACTACATATTCTCATATTCCAAAAATTTTTGTGTCTTCATTTTAATGGTTATTGTTCTTCAAAAAAATACACAAAAATCTTCGTCTAAAAAAACAAATTAAAAAGGCCGTTTTGCCAAAAAATTAGCTATAGGTGCTTACTTTTTCATTTTTGGCAAATCCATTTGCCATAAAAATATAGCACTAATGCTAAGTACTAATCCAGGTACAAAGGACGGATCGGGCTTTAATTTACTACTGTACCTGTAAATTAAGAACAATAATAAATAAATGTCTAAATTCATAGTAGTTCATTGGTTAGCTCAATTTTGCAGTATATATAATTTTACAATATTTTCACATACGGTACGCCATTAACTCTGCAATTAATGCGTTTTATTATCTGTAATTGTTTTTGAAACTTTATGTTTTATTTCGTGAATTTAAATTTTGTATCTCATTTTTTACTTACTTAAAATTATGAGCCCACGTTAAAACAGATGGGAATGTCAAAAATGTGATCATGCACCAAAGCAGGAATAGGCTAAAGTGAAAGAATATCGCGTCATTCCTGGGTAATTCGAGTAGATGAACGGAATCGGACTGCACGTTCAAAAGTTCGGCGTCACTTCCCATGGTAGCGTTAGTTTCACTGTCATCATATTCATGATCAACCGACGGTTGAGGTTTTTCGTTAAGCTCATCATTATTTCCGTCACCCTTACTTTCGGTTTCCGCTTCAAAATCTCTTTCTTCGTCTTCTACATTATCTTTCTGTTGCGCACTGGTTGCTGCGTCACCTCCATTCTTGCTATTAACAGTCTCGTTGTCATTAGCTTTCGGCAATGTTTCCATTTCCGTAACTTCAGCCACACTGTCGGACTGTTTTAACTCACCGTTACTTTCAGTCAAAGTGGGTAGTTTCTTTCTTGTAAATCTATGCTTTAACCTTCGAGCTAACGATTTAACAAAACCACTTACGATTTCTTCGATATAGTCTTGAGACATTTGGGTCAGCTATCAGGCGAATTAAGAATAATTATTAAGGAATAGGCATTTATTGTGATAAAAATATACTTTTAAAAAGTAGAAAATCGTTCCCAGAGATAATGAAAGACCACCGCAGGTGTTCAACGTAATTATGATTAAAGCGATAGCGACGATGCTCGGTATCTTGTGAAGTCCAGCCATCAGCCAATCAGAAAAGTATAATGTACCCGCAATGTTTTTAGCTAAGAGCCTTAAAAAAACTCTCTTATACAATGTTGCCAATTTGTAATTTAAATGCGCTTACTTTAAGGCAACTTTGTGAACGGTAGACTCACATAATAATACCGAAACTGCTAGTACACTGGCTAACAGCCACACAATGCCCACACTACATATGTATAGTAGAAGAGGCAATAGAAATAATTCCGAGCCATCTTCAGCCATTATGTGCCAATCAGGGTTGGGTAGATATTCGGTGAACGCCTTTAAACTAACAAAGAAAAAATAATAAAACACTTATTACCAGTATATGTGTCACAGATCTCAGGGTGGTAATAAAAGCCCCCTTTCTTTAGTTAAAATCCCAGGGACCCATATAAATGCCGACAATGATATCGATACACACTTGGTTATTTTTCTGAGTAAATTCAGGGTTTAATAAAAAAATGTGCGCCGACTAACGACTTCCATGATGAAATTAATGAATTTTCATGTTTTAAATAAAATATACCTACAGTCCAAATCATTTTTATAAAAATAGTTAAGAAGGGAGTTTGCAGAACTAAATCGAGCTAAAACACCAAAGTCTTACTATATTTCGTTTACTTTCTCTAGCGATGTGCGATATCTTGGACGCGCACTGGCAAAATCGGAGGTAGGGAGAAAAAAGTTCATTATACTCTCGACTCTTGTACATTAAACATACTTTTTCATACAGTACTTGCCAAAAGTATTATTCAATCATGAATAGTAGTGCGTGTCGAAAACAAGCTTTAAAACCTTAATATGTCTTCAAATATAAACAAACATCTCGTTGATATTTTCAGTAGTAATTAGTACCAATAACAGCACATTCGAGCAATGCAATTTTAGTGGATAAAATGGTCAATTTTTCCGTGCATTACTGTACGGATTATACGCCCCTCACCGGTTGAGAGTTTGGCCGAGAGTTGTCTCCTTCCTTTTCTGGCCTAGTGCTGTTTTTTTCTACTTTGCGCCGGTCAAGCTAAAGGTCACATCGCTACAGAAGCTAAACGAAGTATAATTTATTTCTCTATTTTTAAAACTATTATAACTATTAAAAAGATTATAACTATTATGAAACCTTACACTGCAAGTTCGACACTCACCTCAAAATTTTTGACGCCACCTTAACCGTTGTCAAAATATAGTAGGGTTTAACGCCCTCCTTAATCGCTGTAAAGAATAATGAGCAGTGTCCTACACATGCAATGCTATGAAACTGACTTCGTATGGACAGCAAGATCACTACGGCGGTGTTTGCAATTAAAAGAGGCGAATAAAGTCGGATCATCTGCCCCAGCATTCCCAAATAGGACGATTTAATACTGTAAAAATTCAATTTTTTATTCAGTTTGCTATATATATATATATATGAGTACACTTGACATTACCTTACAGAATATTTGCAAGAAGGATCCAAGACTAATCTAGCGAATGCAGTTAAATTTACTGCACCATGGGGTTTTGAAGAGTAAAGTCGTAGTTGTAAGGGATCTCTTTCAGTATTCCTAAAAATATAACACAAAAATCAGTAAAGACTACCACAAATACCCATTATTTATTTAATGTCAGTAAAAAAAGACTTATTACATAAAGTTAATCCAATCAACATAGGCTAAACATATTACTTATACAACTGAATCAACGACGCAGATATTGCGTGCTGATGAGAACTAATAAAACTGAAATAGCGATCCACTGACCAAAAATGTATACCGTTCTTATTAATTTGGTTTCGTTCTTATCACCTATACATTAAAAATTAATCAACAGAGGGCACTATGGATGTCTACAAGGGAAAGGAAAGACGGGATGAGATATGAAGGGTTAATTGGAGAGATATACTAGAAGCAGAAGTAAGTCTAAAGAGAGGCATGTTCTGGTGCTAGGGAAATATGAACATTGGTGTAATATACTACTTGTGTAAATAGAATTTGGTGTAGTAATAACTTTTGTTTCATGTTCCACACAATACTTTTTCCACTTCATGCACCAACTATATTGGATAAAGAACCAATAATATTGAATAAAACAACATACGTAATGTAACTGTGAACGTCTTGATAAGCCCATGGTACAATGAGACTGGCTGTGGCATGATGTGCTGCATTCTTACACTTGACAGGCTCGACATAGAGTAAGTAAGACTGAACCATATGCGTCAATTGAGGAAATAAAAGCTCATAATGCACCGCGTTTTCGGGAGTTTCTTTTAACACCACGTGCTTGGGATACGACCACCATTTTGGTAAAGTTACGTTTAAAGCACGATCGGCTGGACTGTACACATCCACGTGTAATGTAACCTAAAATGGAAAGAGGAACAATAGAATATTTGAAAATAATTTGTTAATTTATATTTTTTATATTATAAAANTCAAAATAATTTGTTAATTTATAAAAAAGGCGTATAAAAATAAATATATGGAATAAATGAACAAATACTTGACAAAAAGAAAACAATTATATCAAAAGTTGACCATTTGGCACTCGCATACATTGCTTTTCAGACGGTCATACTAAATTTTGAACATTGGTATCCTACTGTCTACATTCAAGTAATATTTAATTGAACATGCAAGACTGTATTATTTTGATCGATTTGGTATCATTAAGATTCAGATATGATTATAAACTAATTTGACTTTGAAATCGCCCATTTAGTCTACTTATCACTATTTTTTTAACTTATACTATAACAAATTAACTTTGGTAGTCATATTCACAATAACTGATTTATGATAAAAATTATTTATAAACATTTCCCTTATTTGCTACCTACCAATCACTGTTAGTAATTGTGACTAACATTTTTACAGTAGTAATTACACAAACTAATTATTTTTTGTTTAAATTTTACTGCCTTTCTTAACAAAATATCTATTTACAATTAGAGCACCTGATACCTAGCCGCCCTCATTTTTTTTTTATTGAAAATAGATACTTAATAAATGCAGGGACAAATTACCCTGATAATATGTAAATCAGGGAACAAATTTATTTTATCCTTTAATACATAATTTAGTTCTGATGGTAGAGAGTACAAACTAAAATAGTTGATTTGTATTTATTGAAAGTAACTGTCAATAGTACTTTAAACATACCCCCACCCATTTAATAATTCTTGTTAACTTACCAGAAACGAAAACAGCAGCGCTTTCAAATAGTCTATTGGATCCATTTTACCGCAATTTTTTTATATAATAATGTCACTAATATCATTTTTAAAAATGACAGGACTGAAGAAAAAATTTTCACAAGAAATTTTGTGACAATTCCAGGCCAACTTTATATTTCAATTTAACTTTATATTTTCCTTTGCATAAGGCTAAAGGTACAGGCTGTATATCGCCATCTACTGATATTTTCTGCCAGCTGTAGTATTTCAAAATGTTTGACGAGGGCTTAAGGTCAAACTGAATCTACAATGTAGCTTATACATATAATTTGGTAATTTTGCAAAGACATAGAATACAAAAGTCGGATTCATTTTTCATATAATTTATGTTATACTATAGATGTTTAGTACTTAATTTTTGCAATATTCTCGGTATTTTTTTTAATTAAATCATTATTATCTCAGATAGAAACGTTTTATTCCAAAGTGGTTCATAAAATAATGGCTGCTATGCACAAAGTTTAGTGCTTAGTACAGTCTTACATTTAAATTAAGACACTCCATTTGAAATGGATAAAAATGAGAGTAGAATCTCAAGCACGTATCTACTCTCTTTTTTTTTGGGGCGCCTTAGGGATAAATGAGAATCTCTGTTTACCCTTCTTTAACAGCAGACACGCGCATATAAGTTCCCACCTTTTGGAAAATTTAGTCCGTTGTTATCGAGAATACAATTTTTGAAAGTAAACTCTCAACAGAGCGAAAAGATACCCTCATTTATATATACATACAAAGGAGCGATTTCATTCTCAAGAATACAGGGTAAATATTCACATCTTTGATTCTAGTAGCATTTTTAAGCATTTCAAAAGGAGTGACTACTTTTAAAATGTGAGATTTTACAAAGTACTGAACTTTATACATACCATCCAATGAGGTTTTAGTCAATATGGAAACAAACCCTTAAATGCATGCAACTAATAATAATTGAATGCAGTAGCTATTTTAAAAATGTGTGATGATTATATCACGCACTCACCTTTATAGATACCAGCTAATGAGATTTTGGTAAATATGTTTAAAAAAACCTTTAAATACATGCAACTATTTAATGTAGCAATTAAAAAGTGAAATTAAAATTTATATTTTTTTGTGGCGTTGTTTATGTTTAAACTAAACTAAACGTGATTTATCTTTTTTAGCAATATTAGGTACATACCGGATCATCTGTTGGTGGCACTTTAACTACCAAATGCGTGGCTTTTGTGTAAGTTTTCATTAATTCATGTAAATTTATCCTTAGCGTTCTTCTCTTATAGTTAGCAGTTGAAGAAATTTCCGAATAATGTGACAAATGCCTTCCTTCTTCACTGCAAATTTTGAAAATATTTTTGTAAAATACAAAACAAAACTTTTGATTTTTTTTGACTTACCAAACTCTACTCTGATTTTTTACAAAAATAGCAGGACAGGCAAATACCCAATCGGTCACCTCCAAATTAACGGCTATCAACGTCAGCGCTTCGTGCTTAGGCTGGTCTAACAATCGTATCATATACCAATGCAAATGTCTAGTACCTCGAGGTAAATTAATGGTGTATTGCCGGCCTAATTTTTCAATCCACTCGTCATTCTCAGCTCTCGTACTAACAGGTAAATCGTAACGATCCCTATGGTTAATTTTTATGCCGCTGTTCTAAACATACAACAAATATACATAAACATCAACAAGATTAATTATGCACTAATAAAAATTATGTATATTTCCATTGTTTAAAAACCATTAAAGGCAATATTTAATCACATTCATGCAAAGATACCCCAACATTTAATTACAGTAACGAAACAGAACGCTCTACTATATGATTTAAAATTATTAATTGCAATCTATAAACAGAATAATACATATGTAAATCGGTATTTTATTTAAAACTTCATATAATATACTCAATATTAAAATATTTTTAAAAATTGATGAGTAAGGAAGTCCTACAAATATGATGACAAATTTAAACAAATTCAATCAATTTACTCCAACATTTAATCTATATACACTACCATAAATAGTTCTTATTAAGAAATCTATTTTATATCATTTCAGATTTATATTAATTAATTGTTTCTAGATTAGAAACGTCTTAATTACTGTGTTACTTACTTGAACTAAATGGTGATGAAATATTGTCATTCTTTGCTCAGGATCGTCTATTATTTGTTTAGTTCTACGATTAACAATTTCAAAAAGAGCTCTTGTTATGGCTAAAACTAACTGTTTACACCACAAAATGGACAAATGATCTGTGGTCAACCATACTTTTGGAACAGATGTCGACTAAAATACGTATAGAATTTAAATCAGGAGCATCATGCATGTTACCTCCTCCCTCCTCTCCCTTTAGTCACGTTTTAATAGTTCAGCCCCTCCCCATAAATAAAAACTATTTGTTATAAAAATTATCTTTCACTTGTAAATAAAATTTCGTTCACTATTTAAAACTGATATATGGAATCAATAGATGCTTCTTAATAAACTTATACTTCTGCAATAAGTTCTACTAAACGGAAATTGAAATGAAACAGTTTTAAATATTCCAAATATTTAAAAGTGTTCAATTTTAATTCCCTTGTACTATAATTATGTAAAGAAAATAGTGAATTTATAAAATCAAAACTTATATATAAACAAAATTAATAAGAATTACTATATAAAGCTATTCAAAGATTACCATTTCATGTAATGAACATTTTTTTTGGTTTTACACAACTGGTAACTGGTATATGTATTTTGCTTCAAAATTGAAAAATAATTTCTTTTCAAGTAACTAGTTCTTAACCCTTTCAGTCACTGTGAACTAGAAACCGTTAGCACCATTGCTTCGAGTGGTCGAAATTCAGTTTTGTGAACAATTTCAATTTAAAGAAATTGTTTTTAAACAGGTATGCAACACATCGTACACTTCAGCATAATAAATTGCTAATACTAATTACGTAATACATACTACTTCGAGCTGTGCCGACAGCACTCATAATATTTTTTATATATAATATTAACCACTTAAGTATCTACATACTATATATTTAATTACGAAAATATGTTAACTTACCACCGTGTGAAGACAATGATGTCGGTTTGGTTTGGTCAAATAAGTGGGAACAAGTAAATCATTGAAACCACCTGCAATACTTATTAATGTTGTATTTCTTGATAAATCAACACCTTGCTCAATTTGCTTATAAAAATCACTCATGTACCAATCAAAAGCGAGAGGTGGTCTTGTATGATATGTTGCCAGTGTTATCACAAGCGGTAAAACAGTGCTATTTGTTTGCAGTGAACTCAATATGCTTTCAGCTATAACACCTCCCTTAAAATACATTAATTATTAAATTAGCAAATACTGGATACTTTTAATAAGAACTTCAATGTAACTAAAATTAATTACTAAAATCAAACCTAGCATATTGAATTTTATCAAAACTAAGTTTTCAAGAATATTATAATATTACTTTCTCAATTAAAAATTACAGAATGAAGAAGAGAAAGAAAGTATTTCACAAATAAAATTATTTTTTCTAATTTGTTGGTTCATTATTTTCCATAATGTCTCATAAAAATTTTAAAAAAGTTTATCGAAATTTGATTTTCTTTTACTCAAAAATAATTTTATAAAGGATAATAGAAGTTTAAATAAGTCTTTGCTTACAACAAAATATGAAATTCAGTTTTTGTTTTATTTCATTTATAGCATAATAAGTTATTATCATTCTTACCATTGAATGACCAATTAAAATAATGGATGAAGGCTTATTTTTTAATGAACCATCATACAGCTCCAAAATTCTCTTAATGCAATGCTTCACATACTTAGTTTGCTGATATAGTAACGCACCGTTTAAAGCACTAAATTCTTCATTAATGTCTACAGTAAAAAAATCAAAATGGAAACCTGGTCTAGAATTTAAGGCTTTACGCAATGCAATTGAGGCAAACGAACGTACTAAAAAAAAAAAAAACGATATATTTGATTAACAATAAGTATTCTATACAAACCTTGTTTGTGTGATCCTTTATTACCAGGCACAAACAGTACTGGAATACCATCAAAGTACATATTTCTGGCCCTTTCGGTTAACCTACCTTCACTATATGCATATAACCCATACTGTTCATTTAAATGATCGACAGTTGGTGATATACTTATTTTCTACAACACAAAATTATCCACTTCTATATCGCATGTCTTCAAGAAGTACAACAGTCAAAAAGTACGTTATAAACTCTTACCACAAACTGAGGATATTCAAACATATATGTCATTTCACACTTATTTTCTTTCTTATCAGATAGAAAAACGAGAATCCCTAACAAAAATTGTGATACAACCAATAAACATATTATTATAAATACATTTATAAATGCCATTATTTATTTTTGAAAATTGTTAACCTAAAAATTTAATCTGCTTTGGTAGTGTCCATAGATAAAAGGTATCATCCTAGGTATCATGGAGATGTATAATAGTATTATATATTTCCAATCTATGGTAGTGCCCATAGATTACAGATATTTTATCTTATCTACGGTAGTGTCTAAAGTACCCATATAAGTAAAATTTAAAGAACTGTAGTCATATTATTATGGGTCAGCAGTTTTAACCGTACAAAAGAAAGCAAGCGCAAGGTAAACCTAGCGAACGACTAAATAAAGCTCCATAAATTAATTTAAAGAAAATTTTGTTTGACACACTCTTGAATTTAGCATTTACCCTTGACTTTATCCTTCCAAAACTAATATTTGTAATTATTTATAATAAATACAATTACTATATAAATAATAAAAAAAGCCTTCTCTTCACATCTGTTAAGTCGCGTCGAAATTAGTTCCACCGTGTTGAAGATCAGCCTCTTCAAATAGCTAGATAGAATGTTGTTTATATGTATAGATTACTGCAATTTTTTGTTTTAATTCATTGTTAATTTCTTCTCAAAGTTGATCTTAAAGACGTATTTTCTCCAAATTAATCAAACAGGAGGGGAGATTGTAGGTTTCTTTCTATTCTTATCTCATGCGGCATTTATTGAACTAAATTGTAAAAAAAATATTGAAAAAGTAATAATTACGTTCGTCCCTCAAAACTGATCAAATTTTTAATTTTATACCTTAGCCGCTTTTAGTATTTAACTGCAGTATGTTATCTCCTGTGATTCTCATTAATTATCAAGGTTTACTCCCCATAAACAACAACGATGGCCTTAATGACCGCAACTATACGTGCTCTTTTGAAAAGTATGCACAAAGTTTTTACTTCTTTCTCATCGCAAAGCGAAGCGGGGCATCAAGTTGCGGAATTTAACTAGTAATTTAATAAAAGCCTATTAATTACACGTAATAATTTAGTAAAAAAATATTTTATTCAATGACATAATTATGCTTAAAATATACTTCAATATGAATACATATGCAAATCATTATAAATATTTACCCAAACATCCCAACTGACATAATTTAATTTGGTTATTATTTACAATACTCTTATTTACTTACTTATAACTTACAACTTTGCTTTCAGGCTCCCCATTAGTTTCTCCAATTTCATTGCTTTTTGGAGGTTTCCAGTTATTTTCAATTTTCCTGTCATAAACGCCATTGCGGGCTTCTGTTTTCCAGAAAATATTTCAAAGAAATACTTGCTATCCATTCGTAAAGTAGCATCCGGCTTGTCCGGTGCTTCCCCTTGACCGCATTTTCCGTCTCCAGATTTTAAATCGATAAACCTTTATTAAAAAAATAATAAAATTATTTCAGAATGTTGTAAAGAAGAAAAATTTACCATTTTCCTGCATCTTCTCCGGTTACTTCAAATTGATAGACTGCTTGTACTTTCTCTACCAGTTGGGGATTTAGATTGTTTTCTATGCTTTTGAACAAATTTGCAACTTGGCCAGAAGAAGATGTAGATGTATTCGATTCTTTTGGCTTTTTCTGTATCTCTTTAATTTGTTCTTTAAATTCGCTCACTGGTGTCGCGTCAAGGAAAAAGTCTAACATCAGTTTATCTCTATATTCTGGATTTACACAATACTGGTCAAAGTCATTAACTCCTGCTTTTTGCAACACTTCGTCGTCGATAAAGAAGTTTCCTGTTGTAGTTTTTGGATCCTGACACAGGATATAATAAGCCGCATCAGCCATTATTTCCGGCTTTCTACAATAGTTTGCGCTATCTTTTCCTGAGAGCATTTCGATGGCTGCAGTGTGAATTGCTTTAAAATAAAAACAACTTGTTAATTATATTTGACCTTATTGTTTTTTTATGAAGAGAGAACTAAAGTTCTGTTAAAGCTAATTAATAAATTTAAAAGGAATACTTTAGACTTCTACAACCGTTATCTACTGTTACAAAATTATTTTCTGAAATTGATAGACATGCAGTCCTTCTCTCCATCTTGGTTGAAGTTTGTTAATGTTCTGTCGTTCTGTATCCATTTGAGGGCATGAATACTACCACCAACAAATCCAGACAATAACCTTTTAGCAATTTGAATGAAACTTATTTAAAGACGTTTGATAATTAGATTACAAGCAAACTGCCGATGATTCCAATCAATAATTTTGTAAGACAAACGTTGAACATTAAAAAGGCTCAAGATGCAGGCAATTTATCATTACTGGTGTTGGATATTACACATTATTGGTGACTGCTGCAACCCTTTTATATATTTTAATTTACCACAGATTTACCACATTTACTTGTGATCTTGTTAATATTTGCCAAATAAATAAATTACTAAATATTTGTTTCTTATTTTAAGGATTTTTTATCTCATTCAACATTTCAAACCTTTTTGTTATATATATATATATATACCTAAATTTAATATCTGATACAAAATAGTTCAACAAAATTTGTGATACCTGTCCTGGGCCACAAAGCATTGACTCCAATCTTAGAAGGTCTAAATTCCTCATGCATTCCCAAAACACAAAGTGACATTCCATACTTTGCCATGGTATATGCAACATGATTAGCAAACCAATGTGCCTGCATATTCAATGGAGGTGATATATTTAAAATGTGAGCATGAGGGCTTTTTTTAAGATATGGAAGACATGTTTTAGAACTAGAAATAATTTAAATAAATACTCATATTTAATGCCAAAATAGATAACTATCTCTTACACCAAAAAAGTTCCTCTTGTGTTGACACCATGCATTAGATCATACCGTTTCATATCTGTGTCAGAAGTATTTGTTAATGATATGGCAGATGCATTGTTAACTAGAATATCTATTCCACCAAATTTATTAACAGTCTCGTTTACTGCAGCCTGTACTTGAGCTTCATCTCTTACATCCAGGATACAAGCTAGTCCCTTTCCTCCAAGTTTTTCCACTATAATATTTTATTTTAGTATTTAAAATTGTCAAACCCAAACAGTAAATAAAAAATAAACTTCAGTTTAGTAGTCTTAATCAACTAAAAATCTAAGTGAGTTGTAGTTTTTGTATGCATTTAAAAGTCACAAATATAGACCTTCTTCACAAGCAGTATAAATAGTTCCAGGTAGTTTTGGATGAGGTGTAGCAGTCTTTGCAGCAATTACTATATTGGCCCCATCTTTGGCAGCTTTTAAGGCAATACTTTTGCCTATTCCTCTACTTGCACCGGTTATAAAAATAGTAAGGCCTTTCAATTTTCTACAAAAATAATCACACTTAAAATTGTAAAAAGAAGGGAATAAATAAACTAAAATGGCCTTACCCAGTATTCATTTTTTTAAATTATTTATTTTCCGTTACACAGAAAACACTCAGTTGGCTTATTATTTTGGGATCACTTTACTTATCTAATGAAGTAAATATACTTCAGTTTAAATTAAAATAACAAAATACACCTGCTAAAGTCCATAGTCCAAACATGCTAAATTACTAAACAACAGCGCACACAACGCATGTCTTATCGACGTCACCTCACAATCAAAATAACTGTATTTTAGCCTGCATTTTATAGATGTTGGTTTCGTTTCGATTATTTAAAACCATCTCGTTTCCATTCTTTTCAATGTTCCTATCGTTCCTATAACCTCTTTTTCTGCTCTTTTTCCATAGATTCTTTTACTTGCCTTGCTTCCAAGGCTTCCAAATATCTTATCTATTTAGACATTTTACTGATTAAATTTAAATTTATCAATTTAAACATTTATAATACCTCTTTTACGGAGAAAGAAAGCAAATGTCTAGGAATTACATGTATAATTGTTAATCAACATCGTAGATTAGAGATGTAATCTAAGGTTGATCATCATGTTGATCATTATGACCTTCAATTCTGTAATATTAAAAATGGTACCATTTTTGGGAACCCTACTAAAACTTGTTTCTGGCTAATATTTTTCTAATTTATTGACATGAAATTTTCTTACGATTTCTATTCAAGAAATAAGATACCTATACCAAGACTTTTATGAAATTCTAACACGATTGCTCTGTTCTTCAATAAAAAACCTAAACTGACGATTAGTTAGCATACTGTCTGTTAGATTGATAATTATCCTAATAAAATGAATATTATACAGTTTGAACAGTGTCGTATACTGTAGTACGATCTACAAAAACTACTTCAATTTTGAATCCCATCTGAAAGCTGGCTTCAATATAGATAACTTGTTAGAGTCAAAATATGATCACAGCAATTCCGGTTGCATCAGAAACCACCTTGTTCTTGTGGAAGAAGTTCAAGTTTTATATTGGCTGCAAATTTCGCCTTCTTAATTTGCCTAAGAGGTTTCCCATAATGTTATATTAAATAAAGTTAATAATCAACATTTGCCTAAAAATCTGAGGTTTTTAGGAATTCTGGGTAGATCTCGTCAAGCGCCGCTGCTTTTCTTGATTTCGTTAAAAACAAATCAGCCTGTAGTTCTTTCAACACAAACTCCTCTGAAAGGTTGGTTGTTTCATAAGTTAAAGAGTCTTTTCTGCTGAATTTTCCGCTTCATTTTCTTGATAACACATCTTTCAATTTTCACGAAGTGAGAAAATCAAAGGAGCTACAAAGTTTCTGTGTTGACAGAATTTGGATTTTCCTGATGTTCAGCATAAAGCTGTTGAGTTACAAAAATCCAAGATGGAATATACTTTTTCCTAAAACTTCTAGGAATAGATTTCTTGATATCAATTTTAATTACATCAACAAATCCCATATACGCGAATGTAGGCTTTTATGGCTGGCGTCTTTGTTATTATCAGTATTTTCCGGTCTTGTTGACAGTGGTTGTTAGGATTTTACACCTGATGAGCTTTCACCTGCATCTGTGACAGGCCAACTGGCTGTGAAAAACCCTTTCATTCCACTGTACTAAAATTCCAACTTGATTTTGGTGAAGAACTATACCTTAAGTATATTGTAAGGTTTAGATCGATGCTGACTGCGTAGAAAGTCGTCCAATACTTTCCTAGAAATAGCAAAACGCAATCCCATTTGTGTTTACAAAAAACATATACCCTTTTTCCACCTCGCAGAATTTTTGACATCAAATACTAGGTACATAAACATTGTTAAAATTAATCCAACTAACAAATGAGTTGCCACAGTAGGGAAATTAATATTTAAAGGTAAAGTTTAAAAAAACTTGAAATATTGATTAATATGCCAAATTTAAAAACGAAAAGTCATCATACATCATCTCTCCTTGACCTTTCCCATTGTAAAGATCGTTTTATGTTTCTAATCTGTATTGAATAATTACCTACTATTACTATTTAAAGTCATATTTTCGAAAATCGATAAAATTACCTATACATAAAATTGTATGACTGTAGAAGGAATCTTTTTGGAGTTCTAGAAGAAACTATAAAGAAATTACAGCACCACTATTATCATAAATTTTGATTAAAAGCTTGCTTATTACAAATAAGTTTGTAAATTCAGAAGGCATTAAAAGTGGTTAAGGGGATTCAGTAGTACTCACGCCATAGAGTAAAAACACGCTTATCTATTCTGGATATCATGAGTTTAATATTCGAAATAGAGATTTGAAATTTTGTAGGAAGATAAACAAAGCTTTGTTCTAACGCCTATCAAAGGCCTTGTTTTAATTTTTTCATTTCTATTGGAAATATACGTTCCATAAAATGCATCAACTTTTGTTTTGTAAGCAGTAAAAAACTTAAAGATTTAACCGTTTTATTAAGATTCCATCTAGAAAATAGAGAACTTCGTTAGATATTTTTGAACGTTATCAATTGAAACAAGATAATGATGTATCGGGTTCCATTACCACGTCATTCTTCGAAATTTGATGGTAATTTAAACAGGAAACAGTACCTACTATTGTTTCAAGCTCTTTTGCATAATGTAATAATAGCTTTAAATGGATTTCGTAACCACATCAAATTATAATAATTTTAAAGAAATACATTTTAAGCCATAAACGTTTATTTGTCCTTTTATTTTATGTATGTATATGGTCACTCATTCAAAATGTTTTAAACATTATGTCGTGGGTCATACTACATTTTATCTAATGAATATTGGATAATATAAAGTAGTAGAGATTGATCAAAATAGGTTAGTCGGGTCTGAGCTTGGTACCGAAACATAGAAACTTGTGTACATTTAGGCATTCCAATTAAAAATAAAAGTATTTGCTAGAAATTAACTAAGAGAACTAAATAAAATGTTTTTGTTTCTTCAATGTATTTTTGGAGTATTGGTCTGGAATGTTTATTGCGATAATCCAGAAGAAAACTCAATAGTGGATTTATCATGGGGAATCGATGAAAATACTGTTTATTGGCCTGGTAACAGAAAATTTGAATTTACCAAAGTAAAAATTGGTAGTATTGAAAGTAATGGGTACTGGTAAGTAACAATTACATAGGGATAATTACAGTTCAGTTAAGGTGATTATTTCGCTAATTATTCTTTGTTTTTTTTTAACAAAAGGTATTGTTATTTAAGCCTAAAGACTATTCCAATTATGCGTTTATATTACTTTTTAGAAGTTAAGTAGATACACATGTACCTTCTTACATAATGAATTAACAATATAAAATTCCGTAAAGGTAGAAATCCTTTTAAATTCTTCTTTTATTTTATATTAAACTGAAATTCTTTTTTTTTTTTTAAGTTGTTATCCCGTAAATATTTCAATTCAAGGGGGTTCTTTAAAAGGTCTCCAACATTTTAAACACCCCCTTTCACCCTCATCCTAATTTTACATGAAACATTTGTGGGATATCAATGTACTTGTCATCCTGCAAATATTTCATGTAAGATTGCGTTAAAGGTGAAAGAGGGAGAAGCAGGGGGTATTGTTTAAACCTTGTACATATTTTCAACGCCCCCACCTCTCCTCCAGCCCCCTAACCTAACCTTACCAGAATGATTTGCGAGATATCGAAAATAGGTCGCCGTAGTTTTTAATTTTTCAATTACGAATAGTGAGCACAACATACTAAAATTTTAAGAAAACCGTAGAGGTGTACGCTAATTTCCACCTCTAGCAAAAATGATATCCTACATCACATATTAAAGAAAATGTTTTTAAATATTTTGTTTATCCTCTCTGTCCTCTTTATTAAGTTAATAAGATCATATTTAACAGTTTATGCTGAAAGTAAAACTAAACAGAAACGTTTGCTTTAAATATCTTGGCATGTATACACATTATAAATATTGTAATTAATTCTAAGTAATTAATATTATAAATGCCAATGTGAGTTTGTTTATTTAAGTTTTGTTTATTATCATTTCACTTCTTAACATAAAAAGAACATAGGGTACCTTTTTTCCAGAAAAAATACTGTTCCTGAGGGATATAAAAATTTATTTTCATCTAGATAAAGAAGGACAGTATTTACTGTCATTCTACGCAAAGTGTACGTTTATCCTGGGAAATTAGAAACTTTAGTTTTGTCCTAATGATTCTGGTCAGAACTATTTATCAAATTATTGTTTTTTCGATGATCTTTGACACGTATTTAGGACATCACTGCGAGCGAAGCCGAGGGTAAAAGCTTGCAAAAATATTTAAAAAAAAAAGAAAATAAAGTAGCTGATTTACCTTGACACATGTTAGAATGATGGAATAATTTTCGAAACTACTAAATCCATTTCAGTAGGACTTCTCATTAGACATGAAGAGTCGTGTCAGGAGTGATCAATGCTACTTAATTATTAACAAGGGGAATAAGGGGAGAGCTGGATATTTTGATTAATAATACGGATGAATAAAAATCAGCGGCACTTGTTTCTCTATACAGTTAATTATTTGTAAGAAAATCGGTAAGAATTTCATTTACATGTAATAAACATACGCTTAAGTTCCATTTGATTGATTGAAAAAGAAAATTCAAGGATGTCCGAATTTAAATTTCAATTTTGGAAAAGCCGATTTTTTTAAATGGGTACCAAAAGTGTTGATTCATAATTAGGTGCACATTTTAATAATTTATGTGCATAAATTTCATTACTGGAATGTCTCATTCAAAATTACGAAACTTTCTGTAAACATGAATTAAATTCGTTTGTTTTAGTTGTTTAATTTATTTTAGAATTTCATCGTCTAGAAAAAAGCACAATTTACTTCATATTTTCAAGATCTATTAGGATAAGTACATCCTTACATAAGCATTTACTGTGTAACCTTAATTAAACAATTTTTTACTTAAAAAACAATTTCTAGCAATTGCTGCATTCTATACCTCCCTGGATATATATTTTTGCAATAATTCTAGGTCGAAACAATTATTATAATTTTGTTAACTATAATGGAAATTCATACAGAATGAGTAAAGATTCAAATTCTAGTTGCAATGCACCCAAAATCATTGATGAATATGGATCCGTTTATAATAATTGAAGTTATTACCTTTGCTTTGCACAGTTTTAATAAATTAGCAATCAAATTGTTCTATAAAAGAAAAAGTTATTACAATATCAAGCTATAGTAGTACAACGTCATCTAATGCTATTTACTACGTTCTTGGTTAGTAATTTATCGAAACTCTATCACGATTTCGAATTAATTAGCTCTCATCAGCAAACTAACAATTCAGAGTTGAAAACATGCCAAGATGTTGGGGCCAGACATCTCTTCACGACGATGAATACACAGAAAATGATTAACTCTGCTTCCTGATTCTTTTTTACAACTCTTCATAGTACTTCTCTCATAAAAGAGAAGAGGTGACCATCAAAAAGGACGGTACTACAACATTGGGTTAAAAATAGTAAACATGAAGAGGGTAATCATTTTCAAAGAAATTTTCAAAGGTGGTTCTATAATTGTCCCAATCCTATTCTCAAAAATAAACAATCCAAATTATGCAGCACTTTTTGGATTTTGAGATTGAGGTATATTTCAAAATCTTGATGTGATGAGGGAATGCTGAGACAAAATTCTAATTCAACGACAAATGATACGTCGGAAATAACTACTCATTTGTTTCTTTCCTTTTTAACCCCCAGATTTTTAGCAGTTATCCCTTTAATTATTTCGTTTATAACTAAGTACATACAATATAAGATTGCACAAAAGTAAATACCAAAAATTTAAATTATCAAAACAAAAGGGTAATAATAATGTAATGATTAAGAAAATAACAAAATAAATAGGTTTTATTTGTTTCAAGGTTCTCCGCTAAGGAATTTTGTATGGCAGAACATGGAGGAACACATTTGGATGCACCTCGTCACTTCGATAAAGATGGTTGGACTGTCGGACAAATACCCTTTAGTCGATTTAATGGTTTTGGTAATAACTTTGTTAATATTTACGATAATTATGTATATGATAATGAAATCAAACTAAAAAATTCAAAATCCAATTCCGCTTGATTGCACATGACTTTACACTGTCGTTGAGGTTTGAAAGAGTAGATAGATATAATATATTATATATAATATAACCTCAAGACACAACGTTGTCCGTGTCAACGAATACACCGATCGAGAAATAGGGAGAACCGTGCGTCCTGGAACCCGTCATGCATTTGATCTTAACGGTGGACCAAATAAAATCATTGTCGTTCCAACTAATAAAATCAAATCAAGCGAAAAAGCCCAGAAAAGAACTCGCAGTGCTGGAGAGACTGCCCTCCCACTAGTATTAGTAGGGGAAATAAAACATCCAAACTTTTTTTTTAAACTCGTTAGGTAATCCACTGATGCTGTTCTGATTCGGGTCTGAAGGTCGTCGTGTGTTGGAGTCACTTCCCAACGTTTCGCCTTCGTAATTTGGAGACACGGAATTGAAAAACTGAACCACGTCCTGATCCAACAGAGCATTGGATCAGTTAAGGACAAAAGCGACTCTCAGAAGTCTACCGCATACTTTGGTCATGCAGAAATGTCTAATTGCAAACAAATTGCTAGCTTCGGTCAACAGCTATCACAGCAGAATGATTAGAGAGGTCATCGAGATCCAAAAACATCAGGAGAACTTCAACAAGGAGGAGGAGGAGACTCTCAGATTTTGAATTCAATCCTCAGGAACATTCGAACGGTACCGACCTCCATGACATGATTGACTGATCTAGAACAAGAAACTTTACTTTTAGGTGTTTAATTCTCACCAGCCACTAATGCTGGTGAGCAGGCAATCCCTCCGGACTACACCGGAAGGTAGGGCGGGAGGCCCTCATCAAACTCTTTTCAGGAATCCTGGGAATGGGTGAGTGGTGGTTCGGGTGAAAAAGATGAGACGGACGAAATGAAGACAGAAGAGAATGAAAGATTATTTTTGGAATATTACTGCCTCAGCATTTGTCTAGGTGATCCAAGGAAACCACAGAAAAACTTGGACCAAGGCAGACGAACCCGGAATCGAACCGACGTCTTCCCAAATGCTGAGAAATGGCCTAAACCTCTAAGCCATCCGCTCGGTCTGGAACAAGCTCTACCCACCAGCTTAAATACAACTTGCGCAGGAGAAATCGCTAGTCTACATCCAATATCAGAGATAGAAGGATCTTTGAAGAAAATTGCCGCTCGAGTTAGCGAAACGTTAGGAAACAACTTCAAAACATGACGACTTTTAGACCCGAATTAGAACAGCATCAATTTATCTACTAGTCGCAAAAGCCTTTACCAATTTGTTAGGTAATCACTTGAGAGTTATCTGTAGGACAATTGCAACAAAGGATTTTATGCCCACACTACGTTTCGCACTTCTTGTTGGCAAAATGTCGGGCGGACGACTCCAATATTCTCTTTATAGAAAGAGGAGAAATAAGTCTAGACCACCTCATTAAGTTCGAAAATTGATTGATCATTAAAATATTATGATTTTAGTTTAGACTTACACTATTATTATGTACAAAGTGTTCCATTGTTTTACACTTCTTGTTCTGACCCAGTTTACTACGCGGTTTTTAAATATTTATTTATTTTTTTATTCAAATATTAACTTCACTCCCCAACATTTGTTTCGGACTTTATGGTTATAAAAATAGTAAGGCCTTTCAATTTTCTACAAAAATAATCACACTTAAAATTGTAAAAAGAAGGGAATAAATAAACTAAAATGGCCTTACCCAGTATTCATTTTTTTAAATTATTTATTTTCCGTTACACAGAAAACACTCAGTTGGCTTATTATTTTGGGNTACACTTCTTGTTCTGACCCAGTTTACTACGCGGTTTTTAAATATTTATTTATTTTTTTATTCAAATATTAACTTCACTCCCCAACATTTGTTTCGGACTTTATTACATTTGAGTAAATTTGGATCCTATTCAATGCAGATGCAGCTATATAATTAGAGCTAACAGGCCATGAGTTAGGAGATATATTAGAGAAGGAAGATAGTGTGGAGATAGATACTGAGAGAAGAGTTCAATGTAGCATTAAAAAGTTTAAAGAATAATAAGGCTCCAGGTGAAGATGAGACACAGGGGGAAATTCTAACGCAGATGTAAAATTCTCTAGAATTTAAAAGCAGGGTTATTTTCCGAATGTTTGAAATGATTGAGAGGCGGTGACCCGATTCTTCAAAGAGGCTCGAATGTCCCATCACTAATGATGGGCCAGTTAATTTGAAAGGTTTAATTTCTACCCTAGGACTTTGGAGGTTTTAGCTTGATCTTTAGTTTTTAGTATATTTACTATTAGTTCGTAGAAGCTCGGACTTTTGCTCGTATTTATATTAATAATTAATTGATCAATCATCCAGGTGCCCTCATCGACGTTTCGGAAGAAGTAGAAGCTCAGGGACCAAACTTCACCGTTCAGGTTCGTCACTTGGAGGAATGGAAAAGCAAACAAACCGAAACGCCCGACCAAGTCGTGCTTTTAGTTCGAACTGGATGGCACAAGAAATATAACAACGAAACCGAATATTTAGGATCAGATGGAAACGGAAATTTACATTTTCCTGGTTAGAATTTCGTAATTAGAAAAGTTACTTGACAAATAGTCCTGTAAAATCATTTTCTCAGGAATTTCAAAGGAAGCCGCTGAATGGATTGTAGCTCAAAAAAATATTGTGGGGGTCGGTATTGATACGGCCAGCTTGGATCAAGGCATTTCTAAAACCTTCCTTGCACATCAAGCTATACTAAAGAATAAAATTTATGGTATAGAAAATCTAAATTTTCCAGAAAACGCATTTGGTAAGTGGATTCCTTTCTTTAAATTTTTCTTCCAATAACAAGTAAAAACCGATGTTATTCTTTTGATTTAATCTATTATATTCATGCTTGTACATGTACCCACCCACTTTTTGATAATGCGGTGAATGAAGTCCAAAATTATTCAAACTTTTTTCTTGAATTCTTATGATAAAATGGTATCTACAAGAGAAAACTATGGATTTTGTACTGTGTATTTCTTGGCAATATGATATCTACAACTGTAGGAATGAAAAAACTTTTAATGTCTATGAATTTGTTAAAAACAAAATAACAAAACATTGTTATCTAATAATAATATGCATAAATTGACGACCTCTAAATTCGAAATAGGACAGCATTAGTTCACCTACTGCCTACTAGTCACGAAAACCCTTACCAAAACGCATAAAAACTCATTTTTTAGAAAAACGGCAATTCACAAAAGATATTGGATTTTAATTGCCTCCATGAGGTAAAAAATGTTTTGGAGTGGTATTTTTGTCTAAAGCTCCATTATTAAATAATAATTTCCCTATTTTAAAGCAGATTTTTCAAAATGACCTGTTAAACGTTGCTTATCAAAATAATAAAATTTGGTTTATATTTTGTTGAATAAAATTTGCCGTTATTTTACTGTTTATCGTTACAGGGGAAAAATTTCATGTGTATGTGTTGCCAATAAAACTAATGGGAGGTACAGGAGGACCTGTTCGAGTTTTTATCATAAATCAAAAGAAATGAACATGTATAACGTACTATATTAATACTTTTAATTGCTATTAAAAGTATTTTTGTGTAAATTATATATGTGTGTGTTATGTAGCTTATAATATTTAAATAAATAATGAATTCACAAAATCGTTTCTGTCGCTATTCAGTTTTTACTACATTTACGTGTGGGTATTTCTCATTTACCACCGAGCGGCATGGCATAGAGATTTAGACCATTTCTTAGCATTCGGGAGGACGCCGGTTCGATTCCGGGTCCGTCGTCCTCCGTCCAAGTTTTTCTGTGGTTTCCTTGAATCACTAAGGAAAATGCTGGGACAGTAATATTCCACAGGTAATCTTTCGTTCTCTTTTGTCTTCATTTCGTCCATCTCATCATTCTAACCCTAGTCACCACGCACCCATTCCCACGATTGCTAAAAGGAGGATGAAGAGGGCCTTCCGCCCTACCTTCCGGCGTAATCCGGAGGGACTGCCCGCCGACCAGTATTAGTGGTTAGTGGGAAAGAAACACCCAAAAGTTTTTTTTTCTTATATACTACCGAACGCCATGGCCTAGAGATTTAGACCATTGCTCAGCATTCGGGAAGACGCCGGTTCGATTCCCGGTCCGTCTGCCTTGGTTGAAGTTTTTCTATGGTTTCCTTGGATCACCTAGGCAAATGCTGGGGCAGTACTATTCCGCAGATAATCTTTTACTCTCTTCTGTCTTCATTTCGTCCGTCTCATCTTTCTCACCCGAACCACCACCCACCTATTCACATAATTCCTGAAAGGAGGATGAAGAGGGCCTTCTGCCCTACCTTCTGGCGCAGTGCAGAGGGACTGCCCTCCAAACAGCATTAGTGGTTGGTGGGAATGAAATGCCCAAAAGTTTGTTTACTACAAACGTTAAATTTTCTAAAGATTACTAAATAACTCCAAACACATAACTCATAGGAATAAATAATGTTTAATAAACTGGGCATTAAAATCAATGCTGAATTAAAAACGGAATAATATACAGGGTGTTCCATTTAAAATAAGGAAGTTGTTGTATACTTCCGAAATATCCGGAAATCTGCCTTCTCTGAAATTATTTTCCACAGATGGACCATTTGAAAAGGAACATTTTTTATTGGAAAAATTTTCTTCCAGTTTCAACACCAAGACCGCAAGGCGCAATATATTTAAATTTGTTATTATAAATAGATCAGGATTGAAGCAAAGAGATCAAGTCTAGTACGCAGCTGTGTGTTATAAATTTTGCCGGCCTTGGTTACAGTTTAATTAAAAACATTATCTTACAAAGTGGGACTGTTGGTATTAACTTGTAGTTAAATTTTCTCTAAATGGGATATTTGCGTGGACAACTTGGGAGGTAGTTACCACCTGCCAGAGTGTTTGGACACTCTTAACAATTTCCATAGTTGCACCACTAGTTGTAAGTTACAGCATCGGGCAACAAAATGATATTTTTTTGGTTGTTTTACAAAGAACAAGATCGATTTTCATAGAAGTAACAAGTAAACAGTGCTTCTTCTTATGATAATTCCGCCAAATAAAACCATACCTTCTAAAAGGAAGCTGATTCTTGTCTCCACACCCCATTTATTTATATGTACTAGTATAAGAAAAAGGAAGTCGAATAAAATAAAATGAAACGCTAATTATTTTATTTTAAAACTTGTCTAAAAAATATTGCTGCAATGTTGTGAGTGTTGGTAAACTCGCCTGGGACCCTTGAATGGTAACGCTATAAGATGCGCAATAGCATGCGGCTTCTACCATTTGTTCCATTTCAATATCCTTTCTGTAACTCATCAAGTAGGCTAAAACTCCGACAAAAGCGTCTCCTGCTGCTGTGCTATCGATGCAGGCAACTTTACGGCATTTCACATGAACTGGATCTGAAGATGCTTTTGAGCCGAAAACGACACCTCTTTCACCCATAGTTATTATAACACTTTTACAACCTTTTTCTAAAAAACATTTCACAGCCTTCTTACCGTCTCTGAAAATATTAAATACGGTTAGAGTATGTTAAGTTAGCTAATGTTTCTCTTACTCAAGGGTAACAACAGGTAATCCAGTAAACATGGACGCTTCTGTTTCATTCACAACGAACACCGTGGGTAATGTGAATAAAGCTGGGTCGCAATTTTTGCGAGCCGGTGCGGCATTTAAAATGGATATCTGCAAATCGTTTTACTGATAATTTAAGTTAATTTNGCAAAATTTTTGTAGACCGCTAAAACTGTAACGCTTCCTTTTGGTTTTGTCATAGTCGGGTGAAAAGAATTCATTTTAAAAGTGGAACAAACAACAGTACATTAAATGGTTTTAACATGTTTGTCCTATTTCTAAAATACGTTTTTTTTTATATGAAATTGTGTTATTGAATTTTTATGGAATCATTCTTAAAAATATGTTACAGTTTACTAGTTTAAGAAACTCTTGTACCTTGTAGCCGTGTACACAAATATAGGATCTCCTATAAAGTGGTCCCATTGTTTCTTGTTTTTGAATTGAAATTTTAATATTTCTAGGTTTCATCTAAATCTTACCCTTAATTCGTAATATAAAGAAATCTAAGCCAAAGAGATAATTAGGTATCTGTAAACTTCGAGACCGATGCCAAAGATTCGCCTCTTGTTGGAGGCTTTTTTTGACAACTTTTTTGGTCTCACATCTCCCCCAAGTCTCACGTCAGAGCGAAAAGTTAATAAAAGCCTTGCAACTCTCTTGGCTCCGATTTCTTTATATTTCATACTTTTAACCTGCTGGAACAGCTCTAGATCCTCAATTGTTCGAAGATAAAAACTGAAAGTTTTAAAGATTATTTCCTTTTGATACTTACTCTTTGACTTAATTCGAGTGAACGTATTGCACTTAGAACGGGAATTTCCAAAGTTACAACAACAACTTCAGCTTTCTCAATTATACTTTTGTACTTATCAATATCCTGAACGGACACTTGGTAATTGGCTCCTGGTATACCCACAATTTGATTTTCACCTGCTTCGCTTAAATTAACCATGGCTATGCCAGTATGATGGCCCGAAGTCTTTTGGAGGCAATTGGTATTTACTCCCAATTCGTTTAAACNTTTTAGGGGGTGCGTATGTTAATAAGAAAGGATGTAGAGAAAATTGCGAAATGGATCGAGAAATGGTAAAAAAGGAAAATGGGCAAAGGAAATGAAAAGGTCACCATGAAGATGAAGGTAAAATAAACTGTTAAACGAAGCAGTTTTTAACAGGACACGGCTGTACTCGTATGTTGGCAGTTATTTGAAATACTTTAAACTTATTGAATGCGAAAAATACCCGATGGAATGACAGGAAAGAGAAACAACACAAAAAGAGATCTGAGAAAAGATAACTATTTCGTCTAATTATTTTTGGGAATTAACTAATCGTAAGAAGGTCTACCGGGATGCACTACATGGCTAAATTATTGTTGGATATCATGAAAATAAAGTGGAAATATAAAGGGTGACTTAGTCGGTAGCCGGTTAAAACTATTAAAGTAAAGTTCAATTACACATTTCGGTATAAGTAAAATAACAATTTGAGAAGTAGTTTGCATTCAGCATGGGGATAAAAAACCAACTATGAATGTGAAGATTCTCACTAAATGCAATGGCAATGCTTCTATAATAAAATAAAAAATATTGCTTGGTAACTTTTATATTTGTTTCCTTTTTACAATATAAGTAAGTACATACCTGACAAAGTCACACCAACATCCACCGACTGCCACAACTTCCATTTTACTAAGTTTATCATCTGCCGATGTTTTTTATTTTGTTTTTTTTTACGTGCACTTAATTAATTATTGTGTATTTGCCGACTGCTTGATAACCCCAGTATCGTATTTTTACTAAATCGTCACCATAATCTTTAATTTTATTTTTGACCAAAATATTATTGTATTTACTTGTACACGGTATTTTTACCAGAAAAATATTGGAAAAATAACACGGACAGATAGCTAACAGTTACATCCGACTACCTTTGCACCCTCCTATAGATCACGCCACCGTCCGTGGCACCTTATTTGGTATTATAAGCTCTCACATTTTCTAGTTCATTTAACAGTCTACTTTATAGGTAAAACCTATGTTAGTTGTTATCATTGTGTATAATTGTTAAAATAATAAAGTGTAATAAAGGTTTTCTGATAACCGAGCCAAATAAATGTGTTAAAACAGTGTTTTTAAAAAACCCATCGTGTTTTAACTTAATCTCATTGCTGTAAAGCGTAATACATTTATAACTAACAAAGTCAACTAAAACAGGAAATTATATATTGCGATATATTAACAAAAAGAAATTTAAAAATTTACATTAAGATTTTTAAAATCATAAAAAAGTTGAAAAAACTTTATTATTTGATAATTCAGGTTGTAGAAAAAATAATCCAAAATTCTTTAGAGTAATATCGGGTATAAGCAGTATCTAGTTTCTTCCTGGCTGTTAAGTGACGTTTCTTTTGATTGACAATGACAATAATATAAGAAAACATTAATTCCTGTGCTTCCCAATTTTGCATGCAGAAAAAAATCAACGTGTTTTTAACAGTATTGTCCCATTTCTGGAATTTGTTACTATCCGAACTGTTTAGATTACTTAAATTATTTAATTTTTATTGTGTTTCAAGCAAAAAGAAAAATAGAACAAACAACATTAAATTAAATGGTTTTAATATGTTTTATGGAATTATTCTTAAAAATATCGCGTCTTTACTTTTGTGTTCTAAGTTTCCATGAAAACGCACACAATCAGGAGGTGTAACGACAGAATTTTGTTAAATATAGTTGTATATCCCTAAAAAGTTTAGTCTTTGTTATATTAAAATAATCAGGAATGCAACGAAAAATACTAGTGAATAATAATGGTTTTAATCTATACAGTTAATTACGAATTACCCTTCCAATGATGGCGCTTTTTCCTTTTAAATGAGAGACTGTTACTGCCACGTTTGCTGCAACGAAAAATACTAGTGAATAATAATGGTTTTAATCTATACAGTTAATTACGAATTACCCTTCCAATGATGGCGCTTTTTCCTTTTAAATTAGAGACTGTCGCTGCCATGTTTGTCGCTTTTCCGCCATGTTGAGTTAAAAATTTGCTACCCAAAATTGTCTGTCCCTTTTCTGGTAATCTTGGTGAAATACTAAAAATAATGATAATAATAGACACCAACCCACACAAAAAATTAACTAAAAATATGAAAAGTTACTTTACTGTTGTACATTAATTCGTATAAAAACAACAACTAAATTTCACAAATGAAAAAACCACGCAGTTTTTGATAAGATCGGTCTATTGACACCCAACGAATCCTTAAAATAAAATAGAAAAAGAAATAGGCTAAATACGAATATCCTGGATATCATCTAAAAAGCAGATGCGCGATGTGTAAATATCCTAAAAAACGATCAGAACTTTCTTTCTAAGGTCAAATTTTCTGGTTTAAGCGACATCCATAATTCCTTCTCACTAGTACCAATCCTTATCAAACTAACATGAAAACTAGCACCAAAATGGTAATTAAGTTAGGTAAGTTTGAACGGTCGTAATTCAAAAGCCTCAATGTGGCGCCTAATATTAAATAAGAAAAAATACACAAAGACAATTCTCATAGGGTGCCAATATAAGATGGCAATCCATATAATGGGTGCATATAGAATGGCCTACGTCTATACGGAGTCAGTTCTTATGATAGCTGGAATGTTAGGTACTCATCGATCTCCTAGCTTGGTTTAGAAATGAAAGGTTTTAGGGGGTGCGTATGTTAATAAGAAAGGATGTAGAGAAAATTGCGAAATGGATCGAGAAATGGTAAAAAAGGAAAATGGGCAAAGGAAATGAAAAGGTCACCATGAAGATGAAGGTAAAATAAACTGTTAAACGAAGCAGTTTTTAACAGGACACGGCTGTACTCGTATGTTGGCAGTTATTTGAAATACTTTAAACTTATTGAATGCGAAAAATACCCGATGGAATGACAGGAAAGAGAAACAACACAAAAAGAGATCTGAGAAAAGATAACTATTTCGTCTAATTATTTTTGGGAATTAACTAATCGTAAGAAGGTCTACCGGGATGCACTACATGGCTAAATTATTGTTGGATATCATGAAAATAAAGTGGAAATATAAAGGGTGACTTAGTCGGTAGCCGGTTAAAACTATTAAAGTAAAGTTCAATTACACATTTCGGTATAAGTAAAATAACAATTTGAGAAGTAGTTTGCATTCAGCATGGGGATAAAAAACCAACTATGAATGTGAAGATTCTCACTAAATGCAATGGCAATGCTTCTATAATAAAATAAAAAATATTGCTTGGTAACTTTTATATTTGTTTCCTTTTTACAATATAAGTAAGTACATACCTGACAAAGTCACACCAACATCCACCGACTGCCACAACTTCCATTTTACTAAGTTTATCATCTGCCGATGTTTTTTATTTTGTTTTTTTTTACGTGCACTTAATTAATTATTGTGTATTTGCCGACTGCTTGATAACCCCAGTATCGTATTTTTACTAAATCGTCACCATAATCTTTAATTTTATTTTTGACCAAAATATTATTGTATTTACTTGTACACGGTATTTTTACCAGAAAAATATTGGAAAAATAACACGGACAGATAGCTAACAGTTACATCCGACTACCTTTGCACCCTCCTATAGATCACGCCACCGTCCGTGGCACCTTATTTGGTATTATAAGCTCTCACATTTTCTAGTTCATTTAACAGTCTACTTTATAGGTAAAACCTATGTTAGTTGTTATCATTGTGTATAATTGTTAAAATAATAAAGTGTAATAAAGGTTTTCTGATAACCGAGCCAAATAAATGTGTTAAAACAGTGTTTTTAAAAAACCCATCGTGTTTTAACTTAATCTCATTGCTGTAAAGCGTAATACATTTATAACTAACAAAGTCAACTAAAACAGGAAATTATATATTGCGATATATTAACAAAAAGAAATTTAAAAATTTACATTAAGATTTTTAAAATCATAAAAAAGTTGAAAAAACTTTATTATTTGATAATTCAGGTTGTAGAAGACTTCTACAAATATTTTCAAGTCGACGTTTCTTATTTTTACCCTTACTTTTAATTATTTACAAACATATTGAGATCATTGTCTAAACATGAAATCAAATATCCCTACCTCGCCCCCAAAAGCCTGGAAGATTACAATAATTATTTTTATTTAAATATTAACTGAAACTACCCAACCGTTTTATTTATTTATTTATTAAACCATTTAAATGTCTAAACTATCTATCAACTACGAGGGATGTTTCTAAAGTTGTGGGAATTGTGCTATAATTAAATTACGCAGAACTTACAGGTAATGTTATTGGTGCCAGACAAGTCTTGACATGTTTGTGCAACTATCTAGTCTCTAGTGCAATATTATTCAGACTATTTTAGGTGTTCGACGGATATGAACGCGTTTTCGTAGTACTGTTTTTGTAACCATGGAAGATGCAGCAAAATCTCAAAGAGCAATAATTTTCTTTATATATGTTCAGTACTGACTATAGGTGCCTATATGTATTTGTTATTCTTATAGTTTGTGTTGGAATTCACAATAATACTTCACTTTTGGAGTCAATTTTTATTGTCCTTCCGGTACTTTTCTCGGACCCCTTAGATCAAAATATCAGTATTGGTTCCTCATTACTAACTTGGTACAGCCTGTTCACCTTCTCTCCCTTCAGGAGGTCTATTTGTGTATTTAAGATAGTTTTAAGTTGTACATTATATAGCATTATTTCAATATTATTCTAGACGTTCCCTTCATTCGTTTTAAGTCCTTTGTAAATTTATAATAATAAATAGTTTAGCAGACACTAAATATTTCATTTCATTCTTTAATTGGTTAATATCCAAAAAAACAAAAAATAGAATTAGTTACACTAAAGTTCTTTTTTAAATGGACGTGTAACGTAGGTACAGAGTCGTCTGTACAATGTAGAAAATATCAGAAATTATTTAGCGTCTGCAAGGAGTATTTGGTGGGTCTACAGAATCCAAAAGTACTGTTTAGGTATCAATGGATCGATCGTTTTAAAATATCACTAGAGTCATTAATAAATTAAATTTACATGCGTCTAGAGATAGGTACACCACAAGTTCATGACATCTTGCATGATTCTTTGGGCGTTAACAAGATTACGAAACGCTGGTGCCAAGACTGTTGGGACCAGAACAGAAACTCAATAGGTCTGATATTTGTCGTCAACTTCAAGAGCTGTTAGCCCATTACGGTGATAAATTTTGGAAACGAATAGTAACCACGTAACGAAACGTGGATTCCTTATTTCAATTCTGAGACCAAAAGTCAATCCAAAGAAGGGCCTCCACTGAAGGCGCGTGTAGTTCCGACTGTTGGAAAAGTAATTGTTAGGATATTCTGGGATTGTAAAAGGATTATTTTTATGGATTGTCTGGCGAAAGGTACTACAATTAACATAGAATATTATTCCATTTTAATATCCGGACAACTACGACAGGCACTTGTAAAAAACCGCCTGGAAGGTTGCATAGTCGTCTATTATTACAACAGGATAATGCAAAACCACACACCGCATGAAAAACGAAGAATGTTTTGAAGGATTTAAGATGAGACTTGCTTCCGCACAAATCATATCCCCGGGATCTTGCCCCCAGTGATTATAATCGGTTCCCAGATTTGAAAGAAAAACCCTTACGGGGAGTTCGATTTGAAAATTTAACTGACGTAAAACGTGCTATTAATAGATGGGTTGAGGAGATACCGGAAAAATTCTTTGAGGACGGCTTTAAAAAATTAGTTTATCGTTGGCATAAATGTATTCTGTTAAATGGAGATACGTTGAAACACTACATTATCATATTGACGATAATAAATTGTAGTGCACGCGTCGCCTTATTAGAGTAATTAAAACTTATTTATCCTATAATTTTCTATCTGAGTAGTTGGATGGGACAATGGGTTGAATTTATATACCACAGCGGTCAACGAAAATTGACCATCGGATGAGTTTATATTATATTTTCATTTTATCTGATATCGTTTATTTTAACGCCGGAATGAACCTCCACTTCTATTTAATTCACGCAAAATATCGTAAGAAAAGTAAACAGGACAAGATTCAAATTCTTTTGTAAAGGGGCAGCAATTAAAATAGACGAATGCAAAAAAAAACATTTTAAATAAAAAATGACTGTCAATTTGCCTAAAATATTAAAATTAAAATTGTTGAACATCCTTTTACAGGTAGAACTCAGGCTCCTAGTCATGAGGAGGGGATGTTCCTTTCCCAATATCTGTTTCAGTTAACACTTTAAACCTGTGTTATTAATTAGGAAATATGTTAAAAAGAGACTTCCTTTATAATTTTGTCTAAAAACTACTTGAGAAACTGGAAGACCATTGCAGTAAGATTACAAAAGATCATAGGGATCATAAATGTAATATCGGTCCTTAGTTCGGTGTTCACTGAGCTTTTGGAGCTAGCAGAGTTTATCCTTGCAATATCATCAAGAAATTGGACTTTTGGTCAAAAATTCGAGCCAAATACCCCATAGTGAGATTTTCGTTCTAATAAAAAGCAAGCGCGTTATAAAAACAGCATACCTATATATATGTATTTAAGTATACATATAATATAATTAAATAACAAAAGGAAAGGAAGACTTGAACACTGTAGACGTAAGAGAGATTATTAATGGAACCAGAGAATTATTATTTTAATAAGTCAAAAGAAAGACGAAATTTTAACCTTAATAGAAAGTGCCAAAATTATTGCTGGAAAACCTAAAATTAATCCAGAACATGATTTCAAAAAACATCACCAAAAACGAAAACAAAGGCAAAAATTTATGACTGTGGTTCCAAAGCAGCGAGCATTGATATAAATATGTTTTATAAAAAATAATTTTTAATCATTTTAGACACAATTACAAACTTGTAGAGCGTTTGAATCCAATATCAAACATTTTCACAAACCATCAGACAAGGAGAATCTTACAAGTAAAATTTTCTTCCAATTTCTATAGTAAGACCACTAGAGAGCAAGGCGTGCTTAATGGTCAGTATGTTAAAAAATTAATTTGAAATACTTGATAATTTGTTATTATAAAAAGATCAGGAGCAGAGTTTTTTTGTTTATTTTAGCCTCGAGGAGGGGAATTCTTCTAAAGACACCCCCCAAGGAGGGTAGTGTCGGATTCATTCCTGGAGAGAGCGCCTACCGACTAAAAACCTTCCTCGAGATGGTAGTTCAACCTAGTGGTTATAACGACCGGGAGAAGATGGAAGAAGTTTGGGGAGGGGGAGAGGGTTGAGAGGGAGATGGGTAAAGAGGTGAGGAAGAAAGGTTGGGGAAATGAACTATGAAGATGGTGGCCCAACACTAAAGGGAAGGATGGGCACTCGCGCTAAAAAGCGAAATAGGGGCAGAGTAAAATGATCAGCTCTCGTATGTAACTGTGTGTTATAAAATACCACAAATGGCGCGGTAAACGCCATCTGTAGTACGATGCTACATTTTAGGATTACGTATGCTCCCACAAGGTCCATTTAAATATATGGATATCTGCTTGCTGAAACGAATCCCGGCGTAGCTCACCTCAACGTGATAGGCACGTTACCATAATCGAATAAAATAATTCGAAGTGGTCAGTATTCTGTCGAAACTGCCAGACACAGATCGCGATTTCGATCCTTTTGGATCTCATCAGCGCGTTGCAGGCAGCTCCGACAGAACACAGGCCAACTTTTACCTGCTGTCATAACAGTGCGTTTTAGAAAATACCACAAATGGCACGGTAAACGCCATCTGTAGTACGATGCTACATTTTAGGATTACGTATGCTACAACAAGGTCCATTTGTATGGATATCTACTTGCTGAAACGTAGCCAACCTCAACGTCATGGGCACGTTACCATAATCGAATAAAATAATACAGACCACTTCGAATTTCATAGAAGTAATAAGTAAAAGAAAATAAAACTCTGTTTTTTTTATTTTAAAACTTTTCGAGAAAATATTGCTGCAATGTTGTTAGTGTTGGCAAACTCGCCTGGGACCCTTGAATGGTAACGCTATAAGACGCGCAATAGCATGCAGCTTCCACCATTTGTTCCATTTCAATATCCTTTCTGTAAGTCATCAAGTAGGCTAAAACTCCGACAAAAGCATCTCCTGCTGCTGTGCTATCGATACAGGCAACTTGAGGGCATTTTACGTGAATTGGATCTGAAGTTGCATCTGAGCCGAAGACGGCACCTTTTTCACCCATAGTTATTATAACACTTTTACAACCTTTTTCTAAAAAACATTTCACAGCCTTCTTACAGTCTCTGAAAACATTAAATTCGGTTACGGTATATTAGGTTATCTAATGTTTCTCTTACTCAAAGGAAACAACAGGTAATCCGGTAAAAATGGACGCTTCTGTTTCATTAACAACGAAAACCGTGGGTAATGTAAATAAAGCAGGGTCACAATTTTCGGGAGCTGGTGCGGCATTTAAAATGGATATCTGCAAATCGTTTTACTGATAATTTAAGTTAATTTTAAATAAAATTAATTTGAATTTAAATACTGACAGCCATAAATAAAAACTGCACAAATATCTTATTTTTGAACTGAAATTTTGATATGTTTAGGCTGCATCTAAATCTTACTCTTAATTCGTAATATAAAGAAATCTAAGCCAAACGGGTAGTGAGGTACATCTGTATATTTGGAGAGCAACGCCAACGTTTCGCCTCTTGTTGGAAAGCTTTTTTGACAACTTTTACAACATTTTTGCAGTGGTAAAGTTTCCCGTCAAGGCGAAACGTTGATAAAGTTAATAGAAGTCTTACAACTGTCTTGACTCCAATTTCTTAATATTTGATACCTTTCACCTGCTGGAATAGCTTTCGATCCTCAATTGTTTGAAGATAAAAACAAAACTTTCAAAGATTATTTCCTTTTGATACTTACTCTTTGACTTAATTCGAGTGAACGTATGGCACTTGGAACGGGAATTTCCAAAGTTACAACAACAACTTCGGCTTTCTCAATTATACTTTTGTATTTATCAATATCCTGAGCGGACACTTGGTAATTGGCTCCTGGTATACCCACAATTTGATTTTCACCTGCTTCGCTTAAATTAACCATGGCTATGCCAGTATGATGGCCCGAAGTCTTTTGGAGGCAATTGGTGTTTACTCCCAATTCGTTTAAACTTTTAATCCTGTTTTCTCCCCAAAAATCATTGCCCACCTAAACATTAACAAACATTTAAAACACATTTAAATATTAATGAAAACATAATAAAAAAATGATAACCTAAAATTCTTTAGAGCAATATCGAGGATCGATTCACTCAGTTAATAAGTTATTTTGTCATTCCTTCACGCAGCGTTTCGCAAACATTGTTATGGCTTCATCAGGCGATCATGAAATACCGCTAGGTTTGGGTATAAGCTAGTGTCCGACCGAAAGTTCGGTTTCGATTTCGGTTTCGGTCGAGGTTCGGCAAAAAAACGAGTTTCGGTTTAGTTTCGGTTTCGGCGGCAAACCTGCCGAAACTACGACCGAAACCAAAACTGCGTTCGGGAGTTCTCGCGCTCTGCCCGTTAATATTCGGCGAGTTAAATTCCACCCAAGCGAAGTCTACTAAACTTACTCAAATAAACATCTCACCTATTTTAAGTATTTTTAAGGCGCAATTAAAGTATTTCCTTAAATGAGGGGTTGGTATGTTGATTTTGATTTGATTACCAGTAAATGAAAATGTCAAAGTCTGCAGAGCTATGTGATTTAAAGATAAAAAAATAAAACTGACTGATTATAATAACGTTTTCTTTATTTTTCTCTAAAACATGATCCTTATAAGGAAGTTTCGGTTTCGGTTTCGGCCGAAACTGAGACCGTTGCCGGAATTCGGTTTCGGTCGTAAAAACTAGTTTCGGTCGGACACTAGTTTAAGCAGTACCTATATAGTTTCTCCCTGGCTGTTCTCTAGTGGCGTTGCTTTTGACTGACAATGATCTTCAAAAACAATTCAATGTCCTCATCATTTTTCAAATGGGACTACATATTTTTAACCTCAAAACTAAAAAAGAGCGAAAAAAATTACAATGAAGTATAACCTCGAGTAACCCCATTTTCGAATCTTCAGTTTTGACGTTAAAAATATGCAGTCCCTATGACGGCCAAGACCACTGAACACATGAGCTCTAAACCCATAAGAAATCATGTATTCCTGTGAATCCCAATTTTGCGTGCAGAAAGCAATGTCCAATTTCTGGAATTTGTTACTATCCGATCTGTTTATTTAGAGTAGCTAAATTATTTAATTTTTATTCTTTTTCGAGCAAAATTTTTGTAGACCGCTAAAACTGTAACGCTTCCTTTTGGTTTTGTCATAGTCGGGTGAAAAGAATTCATTTTAAAAGTGGAACAAACAACAGTACATTAAATGGTTTTAACATGTTTGTCCTATTTCTAAAATACGTTTTTTTTTATATGAAATTACTTGTTTGAAGTTTTATGGAATCATTCTTAAAAATATGTTACAGTTTACTCATGTGTATTATTTCAAAAATAACGTTAATCGTTGTTCGCGTCTTTACTTTTATGATATAAGTTTCCATGAAAAAGCAAGCAATGAAGAGGTGAAACGTCGGAATTTTGTTAAATGTTAGTATTTACCTGAAAAGTTCAGTCTTTGTTATATTAAAATGATTAAGGATACAACCGAAAAATACTAGTGAATAATAATGGTTTTAATCTATATGGTTAATTACCAATTACCCTTCCAATTATGGCGCTTTTTCCTTTTAAATGAGAGACTGTTACTGCCACGTTTGCTGCTTTTCCGCCATGTTGAGTTAAAAATTTGCTACCCAAAATTGTCTGTCCCTTTTTAGGTAATTTTGGTGAAATACTAAAAGTAATAGTAAAAATAGGTACCTACCCACACAAATATTAAATAAAAATATGAAAAGTTACTTTACTGTTGTACATTAATTCGTATAAAAACAACAACTAAATTTTACAAATTATAGTACCCCGCAGTTTTTGATAGGAAGATGGGATTCGGTCTACTGACACTCATCGAATCCTTAAAATAAAATAGAAAAAGAAATAGGCTAAATACGAATATCCTGGATATCATCTAAAAAGCTGATGCGCGATGTGTAAATATATTAAAAAAAATCAGAACTTCTTTGCTAGGATCAAATTTGCTGATTTAAGCGACATCCATAATTCCCTCCTTCTCACTAGTACGAATCCATATCAAACTAACATGAAAACTACTGCAATGCAAATCTAGAATCCTAAATTTTTCACATTTCGATAACACTGTAGACTGCTGTTAAGCTTAATTTAGGGATTTTATAGTATTTAGGTACTTTTTATTATTGAATTTAGTATCTTATCACCTACAGTCTTTTTTCAGTTTTTTTTTTTAAATTTTCAGTCTTGACTTCATAACATACCAATAATATTCTCTGAGTAAAAGTTCGCTAAATTGTTATCAATGCGAAATACGATAATCACTATTTATTATTTATGTTTCCTAGTACGAATATAAAGAAATAAAAATTTGATTCGTGACTTTTATGTTTGTTTCGTTTCTTACATTATAAGCACATACCTGACAAAGTCACACCAACATCCGCCGACTGCCACAACCTCCATTTTACTGAGTTTTTCATTTGCCGATGATTTTCATTCGTTCTTTACTTGCACTTAAGTAATTATGTATTAGACGACTTTTTGATAACCCCACTATCATATCTTTACTAAATCGTCACCACGATCCTCAATTTTATTTTTGACCAAAATATTATCGTATTAATATACAGTCTGTTTACCAGAAAACTATTATAAACATGAAGAGATAGCTAACCTCATTGCTGTAAAACATTTACAACTAACAAAGTCAATTAAAACAGAAAATTATATATTGCGATATATGAACAAAAAAAAATTAAAAATGTATATTAAGATTTTTGAAATCATAAAGGTTCTCCAACTTCATTATTTGACAATTCAGTTTGCAGACGACTTCTACAAATATTTTCAAGTCGACGTTTCTTACTTTCACACTTAGTCTTAATTATTTTAAAAACATATTGAGATCATTATCTGATCATAATATCAAATCAAATTGTTTGGAAGTTAGCAAGGTTACGAAATGTTGGGACCAGAACAGAAACTCAATAGGTCTGATACTTGTCGTCAACTTCAAGAATTGTTAACCCCTTACAGTGATGAATTTTGGCAACGAATGTAACCAGGTGGATTCCTTATTTCAATCCTGAGATCAAAAGTCAATTCAAAGAATGGCGCAAACTTGAAGAGGGCCTCCACTACAGGTCCGTGTAGTTCCGTCTGTTGTTGGAAAGGTAATGCTTAGGATATTCAGGGATTGTAAAGGGATTATTTTTATGGATTATCTGGCGGAAGGTACTATAATTAACGCAGAATATTATTTGAATTTAATATTTGGACCACTGCAAGAGGCACATGTCAAAAAACGGCCTGGAAGGTTGCATAAGCGTCTGTTATTGCAACAGGATAATATAAGACCACACACTGCAAGAAAAACGAAGGATGTTTTAAAGGATTTAGGATGGGAATTGCTTCCGCACCCACCTTATTCCTGGGATCTTGCACGCAGTGATTATAATCGGTTCCCAGATTTGAAAGAAAAAACCCTTACGGGGTGTTTGATTTGAAAGTTTAACTGACGTAAAACGTACCATAAATAGGTGGATTGAGGAGACACCGACAAAATTCTTTGAGGACGGCTTAAAAAAATTAATTTATCGTTGGCATAAATGTATTCAGTTAAGTTTCGGCGCGCTGGGACCAGAACAAAAACTCAATAGGTCTGATACTTGTCGTCAACTTCAAGAGCTTTTAACTCGTTACAGTGATGAATTTTGGCAACGAATAGTAACCACTGACGAAACGTAGTTTCCTTATTTCAATGTTGAGACCAAAAGTCAATCCAAAGAATGGCGCAAACTTGAAGAGGGGCCCCCACTAAAGGCCCGTGCAGTTCCGTCTGTTGGAAAGGTAATGCTTAGGATTTTCTGGGATTGCCAAGGGATTATTTTTATGGATTATCTGGTGAAAACCACACACCGCAAAAAAAACTAAGGATGTTTTTTTTTAACGATTTAGTATAAGAATTGTTTCCGCATCCACCTTGCACCCACTGATTATCATCTGTTCCCAGACATGAAAACACCCTCAAGGGTTGTTCGATTTAATAGTTTCATCATCATCATCATCATAAGGTCATCAGTCCTAAGACTGGTTGGACACGTACCTCCACTCTTTCCTATCCTGAGCTAAACTTCGCATTTCCCTAAAACTAGAACAGCCCACATCCTTAACTATTTGCGAAGAGTAATCTAATCTAGGTCTACCTCTACCCCTCCTAACTCCTGTTTCTGCCTCTAATATGTCTCTGACTAGACCTTCATGCCTGAGAAGGTGTCCTACCAACCTATCTCGCCTATTTTTTATTGACTTCCATAGAGTCGTCTGTTCTCCTATTCTTTCCAATACCTCTTCATTTCTAACCTTTTCTACCCACGAAATCCTCATCATCCGCCTATAACACCTATTTAATAGTTTAACTGACGTAAAACGTGCCATAAATAGGTGGATTGAGGAGACCGAAAAAATCGTTGGGATAAATATATTCAGTTGAATGGAGATTACGTTGGAAAACTACATTATAATATTGACAAAAATTAACAAAATAATAAAAATTATAGCTAAATTCTCAGAACTTTGGAAACATCCCTACTATAGGTAGGTACCTACTATATGAATAAAACAAATATATAAAAAGTTACTTTTATTGATTTTAATAAAACACTGAAGTTATTTTACTATCCAAAAATTCATTAAGAACGCTTTCGTCGGGCATGGCACTCTGAGATCCTTTTCTGCATACCGTGTAAGCGGCACAATGACAGGCAGCTTCCACCATTTCTTTCAATGACAAATGTCGCTTGTAGGCCATTAAATACGCTAGTACCCCGACAAAAGCATCACCTGCCCCTGTGCTGTCAACACATTCTACCTCAGGACACATCACGTGCACTGGTGTAGGAACATTTCGAGACGCGTAAATGGCACCATCGACCCCCAAAGTTATTATTACAATGTTGCAACCCTTCTCTAATAGTTTGTAGACTGCCAATTTCAGATCACTAACAATATAAAAAAAATATGTAATAAGTTAAAAACTTATTATAAAAGGGTAGCGCGAATTTTGGGTATAGTGACGAAAAAAAAAATATATATAACTTACAAAAACTTTTTTAATGTTAGGTGAGGAATGTAATATCTAAACATATTTTGTTCCTTAGGCAGGTATGTAAACTCACCCGATGGTTTTAACAGAGACATTAAAACCCTATGTAAACCATCCGCTTCTTGGAATGAGTAGATACTCTAAGGCTACGCGCGCACTGGAACTACAGTTTTGTCGTCCGACAGTTTAGTTGCCCGTGTAAAATCAGTGGTATATAATATACTGTAGCGAGCGCATTTCTTCATGTGCGCCGTATTTGTAAATGTGTATGTCATACCTGCGTTCTGGGAAAGCAGTTAAACAATTCAAAGAAAAACTAAACGATCCGGATGTTTCCAGACGGTTCCAGAAAGTAAACAAAAGAGTATTTAAAGAAAGAGACGATTGCCGAGAGAGGAAGAAATAAACTGACCGTTGCAGAAGTGAATCCGGAAATAAATTGACAGTGATAGCAGTGAAATAAATAGCGCAGTGAATAGTGGTATATCAACATTAGTGTAAATAAATAGTTTTGTCGTTATCAGTCTTAAAAGTTAATTTTGTTAAACCCACGAACGTTACAATACGAATACGCGGGCATATTAACCGACACACCAGGTCACAAACTTTTCAGTTGAGTCTTGTCAACTGAACAGTTGGCCACAGCCAGAGATGTCATTTATTTGTAATACTTGTATTTAAAATGTAAATATATCTTTTTTTTGAGAAAAGCATTTAAATGGAAGCAAATAAGGAAGCAAAGGAAGAATTATTTGTTGCTGAACTATAGAAACTACAACATAAAGATAGAAAAACAATATCTCAATCACTTCAAACAGAAAAATATGAATCATGTTCAATCATCACAGCTGGTGGTGTAGTGCAAACACCACTAAGCCTAGAAAACTCCAATATTTAAAAAATGAGAAAATGCCTGCAAGGTTTTCTTAAAAAATATTTTCTACTTAAGTAAATATAGAAAATTAAATAGGTACTACAAAAAAAGTATTTTTATTCTTAAGTTTTTGTCGTTTCTATCAAACACATTTTAACATTGCTCCAGATGCAGATTATTTCTCTTTTTAACAACAGTTTAATCCGTATGAACAATTTAATTGTAGTGCACCCGTCGCCGTATTAGGGCAATTAAAACTTGTTTATCCTGTAATTTTCTATCTGAGAAATCAGATGGGACAATGGCTTGAATTTGCATACCACAGTGGTCAACGAAAATTGACCATCGGATGAGTTTATACATGTTTTGGGTAGAAATTGGAAGAGTTTACATACGTCCTTTTGCTCTTTTAATTTAAATTACTTACTTGTCGAATATGTATAATTTTAAATATAATAATGTGGTTAAAGATGGAAGAAAATGGATCTCAAACAACTATGAATCGCAGAAATTTTAAATAGTACGAATAAGACAGTCAAGAAACAATATTTGAATTTTACCTTATATCGTTTATTTTAATGCCGGAATAAACCTCCGCTTCTGTTTGATTCACGCAAAATATCGTAGGGAGAGTAAACAGGGCAGGATTCAGATTCTTTTGTGAAGGGGCAGCAATTAAAATAGACGACTGTAAAAAATAACATTTTAAATAAAAGATTACTGTCAATTTGCCTAAAATATTAAAATTAAAATTGTTGTATTTCTTTTTACAGTTAGTAGTCAGGCCTCTAGTCATGGGGAGGAGATGTGCCCCTCCCAATATCTGCTTCAGTTGACTTTTTCAAACTGTGTTATCAATTAGGATACATGTTAAAAAGAAGCTTCTTTCATAATTTCGTGTAAAAGCTGCTTGAGAAACTGAAAGAGCATTCGTGTACGGGCTGTAATAAGATTACAAAAGGGCATAGGGATCATAAATGAACTATCGGTCCTTAGATCGGTGTTCACTGAGTTTTCACAGCTAGCAGATATTATCCTTGCAATATCATCAAGAAATCGAGCTTTTGGTCAAAAATTCGAGCCAAAAACCCTATAGTGAAATTTTGTTCTAATACAAAGCAAGCCCCTTATAAAAACAGCATACCTATATATATGTATTTAAGTATACATATAATATAATTAAATAACAAAAGGAAAGGAAGACTTGAACACTGTAGACGTAAGAGAGATTATTAATGGAACCAGAGAATTATTATTTTAATAAGTCAAAAGAAAGACGAAATTTTAACCTTAATAGAAAGTNAGAAATTTTAAACTTAATAGAAAGTGCCAAAATTGTTGCTGGAATCAATTAAGAACATGATTTCAAAAGACATCACCAAAAACAAAAACAAAGGCAAAAATTGATGACTGTGGATCCAAAGCAGCGAGCTTTGATATAAATATATTTTCTAAAAAATAATTTTTAAGAGCTTTAGGTACAATTACAAACTTGTAGAACGTTTGAACCCAATATCAGACATATTCACAAATCCTTTATAAACTACCCGGATGTTTCGAGAAGGTTCCAGAAAGTAAACAAAAGAGTATTTAAAGGAAGAGACAATCGCCGAGAGACGTAGAGAAATAAATTGACAGTGATAGCAGTGAAATAAATAGCGCGGTGAATAGTGGTATATCAAGATTAGTGTAAATAAATAGTTTTTGTCGTTATCAGTCTTAGAAGTTAATTTTGTTTAACCCACGAACATTACAGTATTATTGCCAAAATCAATTTTGGCCTCTAATGGTAAAAAGATTCTTCACCTACATATGAAATATATCATTGAAAGGTGAACGTAAAGCGATTATTACTTACGCGTCTCGAAGATTCCAAAATTTTAATGGCAGTCTCATTTGGAAACTCCAGAGAACATACAACAACTACAGCATTTTGAATTAATTCTTTTACATTGTCCACATCGTCGACACTAACTTTATTGTTGGCCCCAAGAACCCCGATAATTTGATTTTCACCATCTGTGGTTAAATTTATGAATGCTGTACCAGTGTGTACACCAGGCGTTTTAATAACATGACAGTCTACCTTATTTTCTTCAAGACTGTCTATGAATTTTTCAGCCCATGAGTCGTCGCCGACCTGTAATACACGTAGGTATATAGTATTTTTTAACGCAAAATAAGGAAGCAATTTTATTAATAATAATAATATGGTGATCATCTATATTTCTATACAAATAAAATGGAAGCTATTAGGTCCTGCGACATGCCATCGTTTCAATATTGGATAATTTTGGATCATGATACTATAACTGAACAGATAATCTCAGTACGTGTATGTATTTTAGATCAGTCCACGCATGACATCATTCCGAGACAAACTAAGCATTTCATATCCAGGTCTTTTGTTATAGTCCGAGAGGGAAGTACAGAAGATACCTATAATTTGACCCATCACTTCAGAGGTAGACCACCTACTTCGACGGTTTCCCTCCTCAAATACTCCCTTCCCTCCCCCATATACACACTCAACCCTTTTCCCAACTCAATCCTCTTCCCAATCCCAACCTTTCCATTTCCTTCCCGGAGATGAGCAACTTTTAGGTTTATCTCCCCACTCGAGGAGGGGTTTTAGTCGGTAAAAATCAGACACTACCTCCTTTCAGGGGATGTCTTTTGAAGATTTCCTCTCCTCGAGAATAATCTAAATAAAAAAAAATGACTTCGATTTATTTGATAAAATATAGACAGCCAGCAATCAGCTGCTGGAAATTTCGCCAGGTACAGTATCGTTGGTTGAGCGCCGTAGAACTATCACTTACGATCACGGTACCTTTAGGGGGCTGGTTGACAGTTTGTCCAAGCATTTACGGGTGGCTGATGATTAATTTTTCAGTTAGTATATTAAATAGTAAAACATATCCAAAGATGAGCCGAGCTCAAATGGTTTTACATTTTTGAAAATACTTTTTTACCTGACTGACTCGAAAATATAAAATTAATTGAGCTCGGCACATTTTTGGATATATTTTCCTGTTTAATATATTGTAGCGACTACGAGCGTGCTTGTGTGCGATCGGGCATACGTGTGTGTGAGCGGCTTATCGATTCGCCGACTAGCCGCGGACGCTTTTCTTCGTGTGCGCCGTATCTGTAAACGTGTGTGTCGTACCTGCGTCCCGGGAAAGCAATTAAACCGTTCAATGAAAACGAGACTTTTCGGGACGGCTGGAGAACGTTCCCGAAAGGAGGCAAGGGAGTATAAAAAGGAAGAGACTATCGCCGAAGTAGAGTAGAAATAAATTGACCGTTGCAGAAGTGAATCAAGTGATAAATTGACAGTGATAGAAGTGAAATAAATAGAACAGTGAATAGTAACAGTAGTGTAAATAAATAGAATAATTCATAACCTAATTAGTAATAATTTAATAGTGTTTTTAAGTTTAATAATAATTAGGGTAAATAAATAGTTTTTTGTCGTTGTGAGTCTTAAAAGTTAATTTGTTAAACCCACGAACATTACAATATAATAATTAATAATAGTGCTTGGATAAACCGTCAAACAACTCCCTAACGGTACCGTGATCGTAGGTAAGTCCTGCGGCGAGCAACCAACGAAGTTTCCAGCATCTGATTACTGGCTATCAATTTTGTTTTTCAAATAAATCGAGATCAAATCATCGGTATCTTTTCTACTCCCTTCCCGAACTGTTAAGGGAGCCGTACTCTTGAAATAGTGTTTTCCATGATGACAAAGAATTTAATATATGTACTATCTGAATAATCTTAAGTTATCATTAAATAATAATGATATAACATGTCTTGCCTTCTGAATATTTTCAAGAATACCGAAGTAAATCATAAAAACAGGTAAATACAAGAAACTATAAAACCAACAAGGCTTTAGGTACTGAAATCTACAAAAATATTTACCTTTTTAAATAAAATATAACTCTACATGTAAATATTTTTATAACATAAGCTTCTTAATCCTACATACACATAAAATGCTATGTGTTTGAAAACAGAAAGAAACTGAATTAGGTATCACGGGGCCTAATATTTAATCAAAACAAAGCTTATATGTATGTACCTAAACTACGAATTTAACACATGTATATCATGACGTTATCATCATAAGGTCGTCAGTCCTAAGACTAGTTGGGCACGCACCTCCACTCTTTCCAATCCTGAGCTAATCTTCGCATTTCCTTAAAACTAGAACAGCCCACATCTTTAACTATTTACGAACAGTTACCTAATCTAGGTCTACTTCTACCCCTCCTAACTCCCGTTTCTGTCTCTAATATGTCTCTGATTAGACCTTCATGCCTGAGAAGGTGTCCTACCAACCTATCTCGCCTATTTCTTATTGACTATTCTCCTATTCTTTCTAATACCTCTTCATTTCTAACCTTCTCTATCCACGGTGTCCTCATCATTCGCTGGTAACATCACATTTTGAACGCTTCTAACCTTTTTTTTTTCCGCCGCGCCTACTGTCCATGTTTCGCACTCGTACAGCGCCGCGTTCCAAACATACACCTTTAACAACCTTTTTCGAATTTCTAAATTAACCGTTCGCGAGGATAGAAATGACTTCTTTTTATTGTCATAACGTATTCAAATTTTTATTATATTATAATTAATAACCAATTACTGTATCTACTTTGAAATGCATTACACTTACCCTACCAAGAAAAGAGGCCCTTCCACCCAGTTTACATACAGTAACACATGCATTAGAACCTTTCCCCCCAAATTGAGTCCAGTATTTTGTTCCAAGCAAAGTCTCCCCCTTTTCTGGTAATCTTGGTACAAGGCTAAAAATATAAAAACTTTGTATATGTATACACAGTTAGAGGGCGAGATGTATGTATGGATCTAATTTTAGTTTAATGTTTATAGTGAAAAATATTCTTCAGTTCCTTTATTTATTACATTAGTCTGATGCCTGTTCGTTTAATTTAGAGTCCTTAACATTTTTGTAGTATTTCAAATCCTACGGGTTATTTTAGAATAGAATTATTAGAAAAGAAAACAAGTGTATGGAATTTAAAAGGACTTTTATTGGGAACTATGGAGAATAACAATAACAAATAATAACTTTGACTTGTGTTGTAAATAAATTAATGGCATACATTAAGACTGTTAATTCTACTACACCTTATATGGACCCCTAGGAGTCCATCGACTCCTGGTGAAAAAAGTAAAATTTTTAGATCATTCATTCCCACCAGCTACTGAAGCTGGTGGGTGGACTATGCCGAAAGGTAGAGAGAGGCCCTTTTCAGCCTCCCTTCAGGAATCGTGGTATTAGGTGGGTGGTGGTTGGGGTGAGAAAGATGAGACGGACGAAATAAAGACAGAAGAGAATGAAATTTTATCTGTGGAATATTCTATTATTGACTCTGCATTTGCCGCAGCATAACTGGACAGCTCTAAAAGGGATGTCGAAGTTTGAGGAACTAATTTTAGATACCTGGAATACTCTTCCGGAATGCCATGACCAAAGATCCAAAATGACCTTTGGTGTGCTGGCAATCTTTGGGTCAACATATTCGTTCGAGCGAATTTTCTCGTCTATGAACTTAATAAAGAGCAAGCTAAGAAGCCAAATAACTAATTAAAATTTAGTTAAATCTAAACTAAAATCTTGTGCCGGACTTACCAAATCTTTCTAGAGAAATGCAAGGTCACCGTTCGCACTGATTTTTTAATATATATTATTTCAATCTTGTCTAGCATAGTACCATATTTTGTAACACTATTCATATAAATAATGATGAATAAAGTTGTATTTTATTTACTACTTCTTTATCAAATGCAAATTCGAAATAAAATGTACAAAAAGCCGAATTATAAATTCTTCAAAATTCTTTGAAATTCATGAAACAATATTTTTACTTCAAATGTCTCTTGTAGGTCAAAAATGTACCTATCCCTGCTCTAGGCCATGCTGCTCGGTCTTGTGGTTAAGAAACCCAGATCTAACTGAAGATTTATTTTTTAACAAAGTTCTATTGACGAAGTGCAGTCACGAAATTCGTCTAAATTCAATTGTTGTACGTATATTCAGTCTATATGTATAATCGTTGTTAATATAATAAGTACTTATATTTTGTAGTATTAAAAAGAATATGCCTTCAGTTATGATATCTACTTAATATTATTTTGCAATTGTTAAAATGCAAATTTAATTATCCTATTTTGATGAGGCTTTATTTAGAATTTTCCGTTAGATTGTCAGCAATTATCATTAAACTTTGACAAACACCCGCTGGGTCGGCATCGTCAAATTTGAGACGGTACCCTTAAATAAACATTTCAACAAAAACATAAGGCCTACGGTTATATTATTTTTATTATTTACTTTACTGAATGGCATATTTGATTTTTTTATTCTTCCCGCTTAAACTACTCCGATCTTTTTTGTAACTGTTTTATTTACAACAGGAAACTTTGGACAGCAAAAAAATATAAATTATCTATTTTATATCTACCTACTCACCACACATGATCTACTGCACAGGCCCCTGCGCCAAACACATAGTTGTTCGAACTCATCGTTCGAAGTTATTCAGACTTCAATAAATTGCTAACCAAACTTAGGAGACAACATTCGACTGTAAATTTAAATTGAATAAATATTGTAACAATACACACGAACATTCACGTGTATTGTGCACGGTAAATACAAACTTAAACACTAATATCCACTCCAGTGGCGCACATAGATAACAACTTTTCAGTTATAATTATTTCATTTAAATTCGTAACCTAATACGAGCTATTCTTGTATACATATGCGTACATTTGTGTATGTAATTCATTTGATAAAATTCACAGTATTGGATTGTTATGGTCGGATATTCAAATTCGAAAAAATCGAGATAGCTTATTTTCATGCAGTTTCAATTTTTTTTACCCTTCGAAAGTGTACATATTAATAATAAAATAAATAGTAATTGCAGCGACAATTAAACTATCTATTTTTAAATAATTCAAGTAATTCGAATTTTAAAATAAAAAAGCAAAACAAACGAAGTGAAGACGGAAGTGAAGTGAAAGATTATCTGACACAACAACTACCTAAATGATCGAAGGAATTTGCAGGACTACGAGGATAGACGGACCCGAAATTGGACTGTTGTCTTTTGCCCTGTATACTAACAGACGTATGAAAATTCTAGTAGCACATTTCAAATCATCATCATCATAAGATCGTCAGACATAAGACTGGTTGGACATGCACCTTCGCTTTTTCCTATCCTGAACTAAACTTCCCATGTCCTAAAATTAGAACAACCCACATACTTAACTATTTGCGAACAGTAATCTAATCTAGGTTTACCTCTACTCCTTTCGACTGCTGTCCCTGCTTCTAATATGTCTCTGATTAAACCTTCATGCCTGAGAAGATGTCCTATCAATCTATCTCGCCTATTTCTTATTGACTTCCATGGAGTCTCCTGTTCTCCTATTCTTTCTAATATCTCTTCGTTTCTAACCTTCTCTATCCACGGTGTGCCCTTCATTCGCCTGTTACATCACATTTTGAACGCTTCTAACCTTTTCTTTTCCGCAGCGCCCACCGTCCATGTTTCGCACCCATACAGCTTCCCGCTCCAAACATACACCTTTAACAACCTTTTTCGAATTTGTAAATTAACGGTTCGCGAGCATAGAAGTGACTTCTTTTTATTGAAGGCGACTCGGCCCTTCGCTATCGTCTGCTTTATATCCCTACTACTCCTTCCGTCTTGACTTGAGTGACTTTCAAGACACTTTTGATTTTTTGTCTCTTATCATTATATTCGCTCTTTTTTCCTTACATTTTCTTCCCTTGCATACCAGTATTTCTATTTTAGTTTTATTTATTTTCATATAATACTGTTTTGTTAATACATCCCAATACATGAGTCATTATTTTGAATTTTCAATATATTACTTCTTATAATGATAAAAGGGTATCAAATTAAACAATTTACCCTGTACATTAGTAAACTCTTTTTTTTTCATTGCAAAATTTACTAGAACACGTTTCTACATAATTACAATCTTAATGCATAGACAAAAAAATTGCTTTAGTGTGTGCAACAAAAAGGAAAGTTGACGGTAGTGGCGGATCCAAGGGAAGAAAGCGGAAATTTCCTCTCCCAAGAATTCTATGATTACACCAGTACTGTTAAAAATCGAATTAGGAGGTTTGCTTCTCAATATCAAAAGAAAAAAAAATAAAATAAAGAACATGAAGACGGTCATTTTCATGGAAAAAATATCACTCCAGTTTGCATCAGGAAATACTGAATTTTGAAAAATGCTGCTTAATAGAGAACTCATTCCAGAAGCTATATTTAGGTAAAAGATAATTTCACTCCTCCCTCAAAAATTGTTATGATGAGAAGTCATCTATCATAATTTTGTTCCAATGTTAAGTAGATATACATTTATGGATAACGAAAACTCTTCATAATGTTAAAAACGTTTTGATTCTTTGAATTTCATAGTAGAAAAATTACATTGTTATTAATTCTCCGATTATTGGAGTGCCATAATATGATTTTTTCGATAAAATTGATCTAGATCTAATTGTAAGCCAAATTAATCGCAATTTTCTCCTTATTAGGAGCAGGAGTAAATGCGATCTCTTACACGGGAGGGAAGTTACACTTTCTCTTCTCTAAAATCAGGGAAAAAATTATACTTTCGGTAGGAGTATGGTAAAAATGATCCTTCGACAGTGCCACAATGAACTTTTTCGATAGTTTTGAGTTTTCTTTATATATAGACACAAGTAATTTTCATTTGATATCACTTACGACCTTATGTACGATATTCACGAAATACTCGATTGCAAAATAAATTTTCCGGGCAAAATTCTACAAAAATACTTGTAGAAATTAGATTTCAGGATTGTAAGCGCGTCTTTTTGATGAAATCATCATGAGGGATTATGGTGGCGTCAAAAGTGTTCGACATTTCGTCTCTTTCCTACACAAAGAACATCTTCAGGAACATCACATTGTCGATATAGGATCTCCAACGTTGGTGTTTCAGCAGTTGAACACTTTTGACGCCACCATGATCCGTCATGGTGATTTCATGTATAGCACGCGGTTAGAATCCGGAAAAATCAGTTTCTTTAAACGACAACCGTGAAAGTATAAATCAACTTCTACAAAAATATTTGTATTTTTATAGCGCGTATTTTAATCACGCACGCTTAAGCCAAGTAACTGGTCATCCTACACTCCTTCTTGATGAAGTTAGAATGTCATGACTTGTATCTGCAACCTACGCAAGCACTACTTTCAAAACTGCTTACATGCAAATGTTCGGTATTAACAAAACAGTACTGTATGAAAATAAATAAAAGTAAAACAAAAATACTGGTATGCAAGGGAAAAAAAATTGGGAAAAGGTGAATATAAAGACAAGAGATGAAAAATTAGAAGAAGTGGCTTATTTTAAGTACCTAGGAAGTCAGATAAGTCAGGACGGAAGGAGTAGTAGGGATCTAAAGCAGAGGAAAGCGAAGGGTCAAGTTAGAAATTCGAAAAACGTTGTTAAAAGTGTGTGTTTGGAGCTTCATGGGTGCGAAACATGGATGGTTGGCGCTGCGGAAAAGAAAAGGTCACAAGCGTTCGAAATGTGGTGTTACAGGCAAATGATGAGAATACTGTGGATATAGAAGGTTAGAAACGAAGAGATAGGTATTAGAAAGAATAGGAGAACAGAGGACTCTGTGGAAGTGAATAAGAAATAGGCGAGATAGGTTGGTAGGACATTTTCTAGTCTAGTCAGAAACATATTAGAGGCAGAAACAGGAGTTAGGAGGGGTAGAGGAAGACCTAGATTAGATTACTATTTGCAAATAGTTAAGGATGTGGGAAGTTCTATTTTTAGGGAAATGCGAAGTTTAGCTCAGGATAGAGTAGAGGTACGTGTCCAACCAGTCTTAGGACTGATGGCCTTATGATGATGATTAATAAACTGATACTTATTTGTTTCTTTTTATTGTTTGTTGTTTGTTTTTTATTTTACATGTCTACTACGCCTCTGGTGATGATTTTATTCTGGTGATAACAATATAATAATACTTGCCCCGATATTTCGGTAAAAACAACAGCTAACGTGCCACGAGCATGTAGTATGAACGCGGCGTTTATTTTATCGTGTTCATATTTTGACCCGCGCACTTAATGTGTGATAAACACTATCAATAGACTGATATAAACTTTTCTATTAATATCAATAAATTCTCGCAAATGTATCATCTTTATACATTTGCATTTAATAGTTATCTTTTTGATATTCAGGAATTTGTACCTACATATTTTTATTTGAGGGTAATGTTTACAAAATTTATTGAGTGCAGAATATCTTGCCAGCTTTAATAAAGTTTCAATATGTTAAACCAATAATAATAATAATGTTGTATCATGTTCAACAAAATATTTGAGATAATACACTAAAAAGGTAAAATTAAAACGTTGAAAGATAAGTTAAATTAAAATTCTGGGTGCCTAAAATCGAAAACAATATTAGATAAATATGTATTAATTAAAGTAAATTTGTTCGTATGGAGATAAATTATAATTGAAAAATAATTTTAAGAATACTTAAATTCATACAATAAATTGCGTTCATAATAGAAGCAATTAAATGGAATTATAAAGCGCGATAATTAACCTAATTAAAAAATAGCATTAAAAAGTGAAATAGTAGTCTTTTTAGAAGTAGAAGTCTCATTGTATAAAAGAACAAAATTTTTAAAAGTTATATGCATAGATATTTATAGCTACAATATAATTTGAATATAATCCAAAGAAATTAATTCAGCAGTAATTTGGAAACAAATCAATCAAGCGGGCAGCTAAATTTCTTAAGAAACAATTGATCTTTGTAATTGTTTTCAAAACTTACTTAAACATGCAATAAATTGTAAGTTAAAAGAAAAAAAAACAACTTTGGCTTACCCTTCCTTTCAAAATTAGTGAGTATCCGATTGCCTACTGAATTGTTTGATGTTGTACGAATAAACAGAAATTTAATTTAACTGTAGTAAAACTTTATAGATTTCTCAATTAATTTTTTACCAGAAACTGTACGGTAAACTTATGACTTATGGTATACAATAATATCTAGGAGTACATTGCAACCTATCCACACTGCTCCATTCGTATGGGCATAGTGTATGGGTTTGTTACCTTCTTGTTGACCTTCCTGTGTAGAATTTTTCACGCTTAAGCAACATCTACATACGTACAGAATGAAACGCTAACAATAAGTGGCACGGTACAATTTATATCTTTAAGGCGATTATGGATTGTTTATACCTTCCTTATTTACACAAAAGTTCAGATTTTGACTAGCGCAATATTTAAAAGGTGTTTGAGTAACTAAAACGAAAATATTTTATACTTACGTGAAATAATTTTTCTTTAAATTAACCCCGTCACCAATTTTTCTGCTTCCCTCCAGGACAGGGGTCTTCAACCTTTTTAAAGTCAAGGGCCGAAAATATTTTGATTTTGATTCGGCGGACCACAATACAAGGGCTCATGAATGTGCCATTAGGACAAAACCGGTTTATAGCGATGTCATTACGAGTGGCGCTCATTAAAAAGATGTTAGACTGTTGTTCTAATTAAGTTTACGAAATTATATGTATATTAATTAAATTTGGCTAAGCTATTAATGAGCCCCCAATGAAGCTTCCGTGGACCGCAGGCGGCCCGCGGAACGCAGGTTGGAGACCTTTACTTTAGGAATTAATGGTGGGGATGAAAATAATGAGACGGACGAAATGAGGACAGAAATGGATAATTGCATCTGTAATAGTACATTACGTATCGAGGGAAGAAGCAGGGTTATTTCAGACTGCAATGTGAAAACATGCAGTCTAAGACAACCCTGTTTCTTCTCGAGGTACGTATACTATTTTTTGTCATGTTTATGCGGAACGCTCGTTATTAAATTGATATTTGGCCAAATAAGAGTAAATGATTTAGAGGTTAGAAAGACATTGTCATTGAACAACTGATTTCTGCGCATGCCCATAAACTTGAGCGCATGCGCTCAAAAGACTAATTTCATTTCCTCCCGACTAAAACACGGCTGAAAAGAGGCCATTTCTTTCCTATTTCATAGCATGCAAAACGAGCTTTCCGCGCTAACATGACAAAAAATATTGTTACTGCCTAATAAGTCATCCATGTAAGCCACAGAAAAATTGAAAAAGGTCAGACGGATTCGGAATCGAACCGGTGTCCTCCCGAATGCTAAATAGTGATCAAAACCTTTAGGTCATGCTGCTCGCTCTCCCTTTATGAATTTCAAAACGTTTGGGTGTTTTATTTCCACCAGGTGCTAACTCAGATAGGCGGTTAATCCCTCCGGGTTACCCAGAGATTAGGGCGGGAAGACCTATTCAGTCTTCTTTATGGAAACGTTGGAATGAAAACAGAAGAGAACTGAAAGAGTGTTTATGGAATATTATTACTGTCCCAGCATATGCCTAAGTGATCCAAGGAAACCATAGAAAAACTTGGATGAAAACAAATGCACCTGCAATCGAAAGGGTGTTCTCCCGAATACTAAGGGATAGTCTGAACATTTAGATCATGCCGCTTGGTTGTCTTTTCGAAAATTTTTAAAACTTTTGACTGTTTCATTATCACCAGCTACTGATGCTAGTGAGCGGGTAGTCCCTCCTGAGAATAAGGCGGAATGCTTTCTTGAATCTTATTTTAGGAATCGTGGGAATAGGTGGGTGGTGATTGGTGTGAGAAGAATGAGACGAACGAAATGGAGACAGAAGAGAGTGAAAGATTATGTATGGAATATTACTCTTCCAGCATTTGTCTAAGTGATCCAAGGAAACCATAGAAAAGCTTGGATGAAGACAAATGCACCTGCAATCGAACGGGTGTTCTCCCGAATACTAAGGAATGGTCTGAACGTTTAGATCATGCCGCTTGGTTCTCTTTTCGAAAATTTTTAAAACTTTTGACTGTTTCATTATCACCAGCTATTGATACTGATGAGCGGGTTGTCCCTCCTGGCTACGCCAGAGAATAGGACGGATTGCCTTCTTGAACCTTCTTTTAGGAATCGTGGGAATGGGTGGGTGGTGGCTGGTGTGAGAAGAATAAGACGAAATGAAAACAGACGAGAGTGAAAGATTATGTATGAAGTATTCCAACATTTGCCTAAGTGATCCATGGACACTACAGAAAAACTTGAAGTGAACGGGTATTCTCCCCAAATACTAAGAACAGATCTGAACGATATGACTTATTGAGTGTGGTAATTAGAGACGATTGCAGTCTTATCGTAAACACACCCGCAACGAAGGATTGTACGTCACGTTCCCTGAGGATGCCAATCACAGCAAGTGTCGAAACGTCGGATAAGTGTCTCCATTCGAGGATACACTGCAGAAATCGAATCAATCCGATATCATGCTATCGTACGAATGTAGAAAAGCCTGTTCAGTAAATTCCAAGTTTTTGAAATATTTATTTGGAGCAAGGCTACTCTAAAATGATTTTGGGGAAAAATTGTAACGGAAGTGTCATAACGGAAATAGATGTAAATAGTAAATTTTTGTAATAATTTTTTTGTCGAGTTCAGCCAACAGATAAATGTACTAAATTTTTACGACTTTTTTTATTGTTCCGATATATTGATTTTAAGAAAGATGAGAAATAAGATTTTGTTCCGGTAAGTTTCCGTTATGAAAATGCGGAACCAGAAAGCACGCGGAACTTCCGTACTTGCGGAAGCAGAAGCAGAGGCCTGTTGCAACATAATCATTGACAAATAACGAGACATTCACCCGCCGTCATTCATTTCGTTTTTATTTGATGTTTGTGATAAGAAAAATATGTTAAAAATGCCAGTTACCTACAAAAAATTCAAAATTTTCAGTTACTCCCATATACATATATATATATATATATATATTTGATTTGATAAAACCAAAAGGCTTTTTTCTCTCAATTTTTATTGCAATCAGGAATAGTAATTACATTTTTAACTACATATTATTGTTAAAATTAGTGGACATTGCGAATGTTATTTAAAATCACATCGAATAATTATTATTGTTAGGAGCAATTAATTTCTTTAAGAAAATGTTTTTATTTTAATTAATTATTCATTTCATCGTATTTGCTAAAAATTTGCAAATCCGGAAAGCTTGCCTGCGTTCCTGGCCTTGTAACAGAATCTGTTGCAGCAAAACAAGCAAATTTAATAATTTCAAGAATATCAGAATTTTTCTCATGAGCCAAAAGATATGCTAAAGCACCAATAAAAGCATCTCCAGCCCCTGTTGTGTCAACACATTTCACAGTTGGTGTTGTTACATGGTCAATTCTGTCAGGAGTGGCATAAAGAGCACCTTGAGAACCCAAAGTTAAAATTACACTTTTACATCCCTTTCTTAACAATCTCTGCACAGCTTCTCTTCCATCGCTGTGAAAAGAAAATAACTTTAAACGTTAATACTTAATTATGCTGTCGCTTATCTATTTATTTTCGATAACACTAGACAAAGGTTAAAGGTGTATATTTGGATTGTGGCATTGTACGGGTGCGAAACATGGACGGTGGGCGCTGCGGAAAAGAAAAGATTAGAAGCGTTTGAAATATGGTGTTACAGGCGAATGATGAGGATACCGTGGATAGAGAAGGTTAGAAACGAAGAGGTATTAGAAAGAATAGGAGAACAGAGGACTCTATAGAAGTCAATAATAAATAGGTGAGATAGATTGGTAGAACACCTTCTCAGGCATGAAGGTCTAGTCAGAGATATATTAGAGGTAAAAACGGGAGTTAACAGGGGTAGATGTAAGCCTAGATTAGATTATTGTTCGCAAAATGTTAAGGATGTGGGTTGTTCTAGTTTTAGGGAAATGCGAAGATTAGTTTAGGATAGGAAAAAGTGGAGGTGCGTGTCCAACCAGTCTTAGGACTGATGACCGTATAATGATGATGATAATAATGACGAACACTACACAATTATTCGAAATTTTGGACGATGTTTTTCGACCCTTTTACTGAAATATAAGTGTAATTGGTAACATTTGCGAATGAATTATTTATTAAATGCAATGGGCTACAATTTTTTGGGTCAATATTTTTGTATGGTGTGTATTTGTTCATCCCATTCATTTGATACATATTTTTGCTACAGACAAACATACACACAAAGGGGGTTCTAAGATGCATAACCTCCTCCTTTCCTAATATTAAATAGTTTACATACAACTTCATTATTAAATAAACTGAAAATAATTAAGATATTAATGAAAGTCAGATAAAAGCAAGCTCAGAATTGGTCTTATATCCCTTATATTTATCTTGTTAGTCCACTTGCATTAAGAAGTAAAGAGGTTACGACATAAAACAAGGATTCTTAAAACTAATTATCTATGATCTTAATAATAAGTTTCAATATGCCTTGTAAAGTTATAAAACTATTCCAAATATTCTGGGCATTGTTTCATTCGCACATATTAGCTCCATACTTAGTTCGAAGATCAAAATTTTATGGGATGAGAATTGTTGTGTGTTGTTCTTTGTAAAGCCCGTTCCACACATTGGGGATTCCCCAAAAATAGTCCCATCACTCTGATTTGACTCTGACTGATGCTATTAGACCGAATAATCGTTTTGCACAACGAAAAGATGCTGGACAAATGACAAATATGTGGGTGAATACTTCCCAATTGTACTAGGCGAAATGCAAATATTCGGAAATTGACGAATGCCGAATGTGAGGCTTTTCTTTGACTATCATACTCCACACAAAAATGACATTTTAAAAAAGAGCAGTTGTAATGTGACTCGGTGTTTCACATCATCTATCATGATCAGAGCCCTAGCCAGAAATGCGGGGATGCTGTCTCCACCCCCACCCCCAATATCTGTTCAGTTGGTTTTTTCAACTTGATCAAGAAATTGGACTTCTGGTTAATATTTAGAGCCGATAGTAAGATGGGTTACTATAAAAACGGAATAAAGAGGTAAGGAAGACTTGAAAATTGCAGATGCAATAAACATTATTAATAGAACCAGAGAATCCCTAATTTCAATAAAGCAACAGAATGTAATTCTAAACTTAACTGCCAAAATTTTTGCTAGAAAAGTTAAAATTAATTCAGAACAAGATTTTCATACACATCATCGAAAACAAAGACGTCTGGCAAAAATTGATAACTGTGAATCCAATGGAGCGAGCTTTGATTAAATATGTTTTGTAGAAAAGAACTTTTAAGCGTTTAAGATAAAATTACAAACATTTTACGAGATAAACTCAAAATGGTTGTAGAACGTTTGAATTCAATATCAAACATTCTCACAAACCTTTTAGACAAAGAAAATAATAGAAGTGAAGATACTGAAAAATTGATTCTGTTATATCCACCTGAACACGTGCCTAAGATATACCCGCTACTTAAGCAGTTAGAGAAGTGGGCGAAACACGTGTCCGCAGTAATCAGTGTTATTTGGGCGAATCTTCAGTTTAATTAGTCATTTAATACAGTCTCAAGTTTCTACTTTGAACTTAAGGATGTTTGGGAGGTAAAATCGCAGACAAGAGTACATAAAATTAGAAATTCGTGATTAATTAGGTTTTGCAGCATATCATGAGGTAAATGAATACTATCTATAGGTACTAAAAAAAAGTATACTGTTTGAGAGAAAATTTGGAATTGGACCAAAAACTTAGAATAAAATAAGAGATAACGAATAATATGGAAAATTTTTAACTGACTTTTTGGCAGTGAATATGCCTTGATTTCAACTTCGAAACAAAAAAATATTTAGTTTCAATCTCTATTAATAATGAGCGTAAAACTTTTTAATATGTTTAAATAATAATTAAAACTTTAAAATTGCATTTATTTCAGA